TGAGCCGGGGATTGCACACGCCGGGGATTGCACTAGAGCGGAGCAGCTCGGCCCCGGCCGCTGGCCACGAGACGGATGAGTCAGAGATTTCGGGCACAATGGGAAGCGCGGGCTCAGCAGGGACCGGGATGTGCCGGGATGGGGACGTGCCAGGATGGGACCTCAAGGCCACCGAGCGCTGCATCGCCGTGAGCAAAACCTCCTCAGGGGCAGGGCACAGAAGCAATAGGAAGAAACGTGACTTTTGCCCGCCCGGTTGCCGTGAGAGGAAGGAAACGGGTGAACTCATGGTGGCGAGCGTGGAGAGGGGCCATGCCACGCGTCCTTCCCATCCTGCCGGCAGCCAGACCGGCCACCAGCGTGGGGCTGCCTGCAATTCCCAGCCGGTGCTGGCAGGGTACCAGGGACCATGTCCCAGCTCGGCAAGAGCCGTATCCAGCCTGGCTGCTTCCCCAAGGCATCCCCACCTCCCTCTCACCCACTGCTGTCTTCTCCCTTATGCAGCCTTTTCCTTTTTTTTTTTTTTTTTTAAAAAAAAAAGCAAAGCAAACCCACAAGTGCAAGAAGAACAAAAAAAAATAACCAAGCCAAAGCAGGAGCCCTGCATCGCCACCCATTCCGAGTTACTCCGACATGCCCTCAGCTGCCCCCACATCCCACATGAGAGCTGGCAAGGGCAGAAATAATTGGCACACACTAATTACAGGTATGAAGATGGAGGTGCTGCTTACAGGCCACGCAGCCTCAGGCACATGGGTCTCACAGCTTGAAGCAATAGGTGAAACCTCCCACAGCAAACCGGGGGCAGACTCAGCCATCCATCCCAAGGGGCAGCGGGAAGCATCCTCCAGAAAGGTCTCGAAAGGCCAAAAAACATTTGCCAGAACTGCAGCCACAGCTTTCTCTGCTCATCGGCATCTTCCATCCCCTTCCCATGGGACAGTGGCTGGGAGGAGAAGGGGATCCTCAAAAGAGACCACTGACCTTCGACGCCAGCATGGACCACCTGCATCATCACCCTGCTGAGGTCCCAGGTCGCTCCCCGGGGCTGGGAGCACCCAAACACTCTTACTCAGGGCTGAAAACCACGGCTGTAGTCACCCACCAGCACAGGAGCAAGTACTCACTGGTGCCTTTGTTGCAAAAAAACCCTCGCTGTTTGCTCAGCAGCAGAAAAGAAACTTTTTTCGTATCAGGAGGTGAAAGGACATAACTGCTGGACCACGAGATGGAGGTCCCACGGCTTTCCCGCTCCGAGGGATGACAGGGCGCTGCACCGGCAGCAAGCCCTGGGCAGACTGAACCGACACCGTTTTGGGAGGCGGGCGGAGAAGGCAGCTGCGATCTCTCTCCTCGCATCCCACGCGCCGGCATCTCTCCTCGCATTCCACACGGGACCATGCCTGTGCCGGGTCGAAGAGCCACGTCGGCACCGCTCCAGCCACCACGGAGCGTCCCCATCGCCACGCCACCAAGCACCCCCAGGTCAGGCTGGCAAAATGCCTGGGGTTTGAAATTCCGCTAACGAGGCTGGCATCACAGTGACCCATTGGTGCCATGCCTGCCATGGTCCCCAGGGAGCCTTGCCCAGCCCTTTTGCAGAAAACAGAGGAAATCGCTGCAGTTTTGGGTTTGGGTTTTTTTTTTTCCAAGTAGGGCATGTGCAAACCGGGATCCTGCACTCATCATCTTGCTCCTTCAGCCGGCCACAAGCCACCTCTCAGGGACCGACAAGGCAGAAGGCAAGCGCAGCTGGGGATGGGAGCCCCTGTACGTAATCTCCCGTGGGCGAGTGGGCGAGTGACGGCGTTGCTGTGCCGTTTGCAGCAGCTCCTTGGCTTGAGGGTCTGGAAACGGCACAACGGCAGGCTCGGGGGCATCTGCTCCCTCTAAATGAACCAGAAACGCAGTTTAAGTGAGCCACTTGCCCATTTACCGAGGACCCACTGCAGTCGGTGGGAGCAGGAGCAGATCCGCTGTAATACAAAGCCTTTTCTAACACTATCTCTTAATGCCACAGGCAAGAAGTATTTCCTAAGAGGAAAATCCATTTGTCCAGGATTACATGCACAGAAAATGATTATACAGCTGCAGAGGACAGCCTTTCCCAAGCGAAGCCACCAGCCCCGGGGGATGCGTGGGTGCGGGTCCTGGCCCCACGCAATCCCGGGGGGCTCTGCAGCAGCACCGGGAGAAACGCGGGAATTGCTCACGGATGGCTGGATCCGGACACCGGCACACTCTGCGGCAGCTGCCCCGCGTCCCGTGCTTTTGCTAGGAAAGAAAAAAAAAATAATCAGGGTATGTCAAGGGTGAATCTCCTGAGGTCTGGCAGGTTTCTGAGCTGTGTCGTGACTAATACGGCGACAAGAAGTGATCAGCGATTTATGCGGCTGGTGCTGAGCTGGCATTAGACACTGTGCTCCATCCCAGACCGCATCCAGGTGCCCTCGCCGTCGATCTAAGTGGAAGTGAAAAGCTACACTGGCCGTCACAGCAAAGAGTAAGCAGCCCAGCAAAGCCCCAGCAGGACCACAGGGTGATGGCACTGCCATCGGTGTCACCGAGATGCGGGTGCCACCGGAGGGACCAGGCAGGAATGAGCCACCCACCAAGGCTGCGGTCTGACCCGAACACGAGGCAATGCCGCCCCAGCACGCGAGCATCACGGCTCTCCCGTGGAAATCGCCGGCGACCTCCACACCCGCAACCCACACAGCGTGTTTCCCATCATTCGAGCTGGTGTTGAAATGATTCCAGAAAATTTCCATTATTTAAGCACGACGTTCGGCAAACGCCCCAGTCTCCCAAACACCTCCGCCTGTGACCAGTGCCACTGAACCGGCTCTCACGGGAGGTTTGCTGCTCTCTCTTGCAAGGGTGTAATCAAATTTTGGCAAGATGATGCAGAGGATGTGTACCCAGCTCAAACGCCGTGGCTTTGGTGCTGCTGGCTCCATCGGCAGCCAGCTCAGAGGCAGCTGCGTGGCCGCTGGAGCCGAAGGAGGGATGAGATGTCCCATGCGGAGGGCGCTGGGGCAGATTTTGGCCGGTACGGTGCTGGCAGGGATGGGAGTTGTTCTCAGGAGTGCCTGCTGTGGCCCAGGGGCCAGGCAAAGCCTGACACTGGCAAAACCACGCGTAGGCAATGCCGGGCACCTCGCCGAAGAGACCCTGTGTTTAGGTGAGCTGACGCACGCTCTCCCCAAAGGGACAGGGCTGGGACAGAAAAAAACAACGGGGACAAACGGGATGGGTGAGGCAGGCAAGAAGCAGGACCAGCGTTTCCCTCGCACCCCGTTTTCCACGAGGGCCCCACGCCTGCTCCTGGTTAAGAGCAGCAATCCCTGCGCCACAGCAGCCACCCCCTCCCCAGCCACCACGGAGCTCAGCCCTAGCAGGAGGATCCCGATCCCCTCTCCAAAAGCCCTTTTTTCTGCCCGCCCCTCCCGCAAAAAAAAAAAGCAGCCATTTCATCCAGACGAGACACAGTGCACGTCACCCCCCCCCTGCCCTGGTTATCGGCGGTTTCCTCTTCGCAGAGACTGAGCAGCGGCAGCAGAAGCGGTTGGGTTTTACATCCCCCCTCGCAGCGGGTGCAGCTGGTGACGGGGAGATGGCGCGGGGGGGGTGACGGGACCCATCAGCCACACACACACACAAGGTCCCCCTCGCCCGATGACGTTCGCAACTTTAGCATTACAGGCATGAAGTTGAGGGCACGGAGGAGCAGCCAGCGGCTGCGGGCGGGGAAGAGAAAAGCACAACTTCCTCCCTTTTTTCTTCTCGACAAGAGATCCGAGCCCATATATAAAGGAAGTGCTGAAATCACACGCCCCATCGATAAAATACAATTATTCCGTCAGCACCAGACCCCTGGGAAATGCTGCTCCCCTCCTCCCAGGGGTCTGCAGTCACCAAAGAGGCTGCGGCTGCAGGGAGATGCTATCCGCAAACGGCACGGCTCTCGCACCTTCAGACACCACTTCTGGAACAAGAGTTTCTACCAGGGAAGTCATGCTGGCGTAAACATGCCAGTAAATATCTTCCTGCAGGCCACCGGTTAATTAAGGAGCTCTTTTCATAACAAGTTAACAAATAACACGTGCGGTTATGACAAATTACATTCTCGCTTTGCTGTGCATTCACTAATCATCACTGTTGTGCTTTGCAAGCCAGGACAGTGTTTTATGGAGTGTGAAGTTCGCAAGGAACGCTCTTACTGGAGATAAAGGGAGCCCGAGCTCAGGGCAGGCCCAGAAAGTGCCCGGGTGCCCATGAACAAGGCTCCCCCCAAAAGCAACGGCTGAGGTTTTGAGAAAACCCAGTGCATTTAGCCTAAATACTCAGGTTTCTGAAGCAGGGACCGCTCGTGCTGTGCGCAGCGTGAACAAGGAATTGTAACAGGCCGTTCCAAATCACGTTGAGCAGCACCTCTGTCGCAGCAGACCTACTTTCACAGCGCGCAGCCGGGGCTGCGGGATGGCGCAGGCAGCCACGGCCACTGCCGCTACAGAGCAGAAGTGAGATTTACTTTGAAATTACATCTCAAAGTCATTGCTGTGCAAAACAAGAGGCAGCTTGGCGAGAAATACCAACAGCAACAATGAGCCTGCTCACCAGAATCGTTCGAAGGTGTTGAACTTTAACGCTGCGGATCCTTGTACCAGAAAAGTGCAGGTGAAATCAAAAGGAAGAACAATTTCACACAGGCGCAGGGACCACGTGTGTGTTCTATCTGTGCAGTACCTACCACCAACGACGGCGTCTGCTCCTGGAATGAGACTCCTAGGACCTCTGCAACGCAGGAATGACACAGAAACCACAGGCTGAAAGAAAAAGCAACAAACCCCACCATCTGACACCCATCTCAAGTGTAAAAATTTTATTAACTGTCTATCTGGGGCTGTGTGATTGAGCCCACTCAGAGAGTTTTCTCCTCACAGAGACCGTGGTGCGGTGTCCTCGGATCTGCTCCACGAGCACTCGGCAAGCCGCCCACTGCTCTAACAAGCAGAGGTAAGCAGAACATGCACCCAGCGCTGCTCTGGGTGAAGCTCTGGTTCAGTTTTCTGCCTCAGCTGGCAGACATCGACAGCTCACGTCTGTCCTCTTGGAAGGCGCAGTCAGTGGATCTAGTCTAACTTCTTCTGGTGCCTCATGCCAAGTCCACCATCGAGAAGCCATTTTCCATAGATGAGTCACAAACCACACTGGAGACAGTCCCTTTGTGGTGTTATTCTATACCCTCTCCCTCTTCTCCAGAGCTCTACCAGTTGCCAAAGGACAGATACTGCGGTCAAAGATCTCACGATGGAAAATTCTGTGAAGAGATTTTAAAAAAAAAGTACTGATTTTTAAGTGGCCTGTTTTTGGCACTGGACCCGCATGTCATGTCAGTGCAATATGCAAAGTAATCTTCTTCATGCATAACTGTCTGCTCCATCAATTAACCAAAAAATGATCTAATCAAGCCTGACAGGTGCCAAGTACCACGTCTAGAGGCTGGTTTTGGGGAGAGGGCTGTACAGCAGAGCACACAGTACTAAAAGCAGCAGTGGGCGTACTATTTTAATTGTTTTGGTGCCTCAAAACTCCAGTTCTGAGATCCCACTGCCCTACAGAGTGCGGAAGCAGAAGAGAAAATCAGCGTGCAGCTCAAGCATGGTCCTGCTGCAGACAAAGGCTGGCACCTGGCAGAGCGCTGGGTTTCAGGACAAAGTAGTTCCTTTGTACACGCACGGTTCTGGTCCGCAGTTCCACAGGGTCCCTAACAGTATTTCACAGTCATTTTAGAGCTTCACCCCTGGAACGCTCACACTACGCCAAGTAAACAGCAGCTCTGTGAATTCCTGGCAGCATTCGCTGCGCCAGTTAAATTAACCTACCATTTGTTTCCTGTGGATATTCATGATATGAATGTCTTCACTGCGATACTCTTCATCGTGCTTATCCAGGGGAATTTCTTCCAGCTCAAAGTCCATCTGAAGCAGCTGGTTATCAGAGAACACACAAAACAATTCAAATGACACTGACCGCCCTTTTGAACTAAACATGTTCAGTTAAAAAGGTCCCACAATATACTGCATGAGAGCAAAAAGCCTTAGGAAGCTGGAACCACCACACTCAGACCGTTCCACTAAAGGCCTCTACAAACGTGTAAGCCGTTTTTCCCCCCGTGCAGCACACTGACTCTCATTTTAACTACTCCAGCGCCAATTCGAAGTTACAGACACCTTGAAACATTTATGAAAAATCTAAAAACTTGTGATAAAAGCATTTTGCTTCCTCCAGTCTCTGAAGTCCTAAGCCAAACGACAGCACCTGCCTCTGTCTGCCAACCTTCTCAACTGGAGGGGAAGGGGAAAAAAAAGGCTAAAAAGCCCCAGCATCAAGTCTGCAATGCACTCAGAAGATTAACTTGGCTGAACCCTGGCAAGCTAAGGAAGGAAATAAATTACGAGAGAGCAGAAATCATGCAGAAACACCTGTTGTGTTTATCGTGGGAGTGGCATCTCATCAGAGCTGATGTCAATTATAGGAACCCTCCTCACAGTCAGGTCCCCACAAGAGTTCGAGGCATGGCTAATTATCAAAGAGGTGCTTTTATTAACACGTACAAATCACTCTAGAATTCTTGCCCTTCCCCTTTTTTGTAGTAGTAGTATTACTACATACAATCCAGTACTCCTGCACAAGGGCTACTTTTCAGCAGACTTCACAGGTGCAGAGTTAAAGCCTGCACTGACTGCCATCCCCATAACGTTAGGAGGATTCAGCTGTTACCTGTGCTCCTTTTCTTTACCTGCACAGAAGATACAGCTGGACTATTTAACTATATCTCCTATTAACGCTCCCTCAGGAGAGGGGGGAGGAAATTTTTGCAAAAGCAGCTATATTACTTAGCAGAGTCTTGTGTTCCTGAGCTACTCTGGAAAACTTTACCCATATTTTCCCTCTGCTTTCAATGGAACATGCTAAATGATTGTTTTGATTTTGACAGGTATTGCCTCACATATGGTGGCCCTTTTGCAAATGTGGAAGGTATCGCGAGCTAGAGAGGCTTTTAACAACCTATGCAAGCCTGGCTGCCTGGATCAAAAGCATCAATACAGTTAAGATTAGTAAGGCAAGAAAGGTTAGTTCAACCTTTTGAGGGAAGGAAAGCTCAGTACGTATCCAGAAAGTTGCTACTGCTAAGTTGGACAATAATTTCACAAGTCACCATCCAAATTTTCTGCCCCATGTAAAGACAAACATGCTTCTCCTGCTACAAACTCTACTTTGTGCAGTCAACCTGAATTTGTATGTGTAGCAACTGCCGTTGATGTTCAGCTGATCCAATACAAAGACCTCCTGTATCCAAGCTATTTTCCTTGTGTTCAAAAAGCACACGTTAAAAACACTTACCTCAAAGTATTTTCTCTCAATTTCAGGGTTCTTTCCCATAGTCCTCTGCTCGTAACAGCACAAGATGCAAGTATCAGGGCCAGTAAGGTCCTTCAGTGTCTTCAGTAATGGTTCTAATGACTGCCCAAAAGAGGTTAAGTATTTCCCACTTAGATTTCAAGTTCATTTTACTGGCACAATACCCTCTAACTAAAGTCTTCACCCAAGAGAGAACTTTCCAGTTTTGCCTTTCAGGAGTTATTTTTAGTACTTTAACTGGGACAAAAAGAACATGGGGGCAAGCTGGAAAGCAGAGGAGAAAGGGAGACTGCACAGGAGAAGAGTTTCACAGACTGACCAAGAAAACTGAACTAGCATCAAAGCCAAAAACATCCCACACTGCTGAGCAGGCATTTCCTTGAGGCACACAACAATGACTATTTCTTGACATGTTTCAAAAATGAGCATTTTCTCAACCATTCTTGAAACATAGCTAAGATCCAGACCACTACATATTGAAACAGGACCAACACACAGGGAGCCAATGCAAGGGGCTGGGAAGACCACTGAAAGGGCACTGGGACATAGGGTTCTTCAGATAATTTCCATTTTTTTGCAGCTTCTGTTAGCTCTCTGTGCACATCCTACAGAGCTCCCACTGAGGAGATGAGGCAGACTACAGCAACCACTAAGCCAGAGCATGACTTCTCCTTTTGCCTTGCCAAGAGAAGTGTGAGGAGAACCCAAACAATGCAAATGTGGCACTATTAAACTTCATTTACCAATGCATTAAACAGTTTGTAACTATCAGTTACAATGTTTTGCTTCACACTTCATTCCCAATGTAAAAGACAAAAGGGGGTGCGGGGGGGGGGTGGCACAAATATTACGTTCGGGGTTTTTTTTAAGCATAAAAAAGGTATCTGGTTGAATCTCAAATAGCCTTTAATCTGTTAAAAATGCCTTTTCTAGCCTTGTTCTACGTATTCCTCTGAACCACGGGGGCCAAGACGCAAGCACAATATTTATTTGAACACTTCTCACACTGAACCCACACCCTTCCCAAGGAAGCTTTCTACAGGGGTTTTGCAAAGTCCTCGTTTACCTCCTCATAGTAAATGCAATCAGCCATTAGTATATAATCGGGGGGAGGCTGAAATTCTGTAACATCTTCGCCCCTAAAAAGAAGCAAAAAAAAAAAGGTGAAAACAAGCTTCGATAATAATACAGCACACACTGCTAAAGGACTGAGCATGAAGTTAACTACTATGTTCTTACGCTGAGCTTCCCTTCTACAGCAGTGTTTTCAAGTGTATCTGGGAATTTAACACAGCAAGAGCAGAAGCCCCGTTAAAGCTGAACAGAAACGTTAAAGGATCATACAAACCATTTCAGTACCTTGGCTCGGACTGACCCTGTCACCAGATGTTTGTTGTTCTCTATATTAACCGTCAACAGCTCCTGCAGCTCCTCAAGGTCGGTGACCGTCACGTTCGCCCTGGAACACACACGGGGTTACGGCCCGACCCACCGGCCCCCGGCCCCTCGCCACTGCGACCGCGCACCACACGGGCGTTTTGCAAGAATTTGCAAGATTTCACGCAAATAACGCCAAAAAAAGCGGGGGAAGAGGGGGGAAACCGGGCAGGAGGGACCTGCCCCTGCCCCTGCCCCTTCCCGGCAGTCACAGCGTTGTCCCCGCTTCGCCCTCGCCCGGGCAGGCGGGAACCGGAGCGGCCCCGTCCGCCCTCCCGCAAGCCCCGGCCGGCGCCGCTCACCCCAAGGTGGCCGCCATGATCCCGACAGCACCGGTACCGGCGCCCAGCTCGAGAACTTCTCGTCGGGCGAGAGGGCAGGCGCCGGTTTCCAAGAATTTGGCGAGAACCAACGCGGCGTCCCACACCACGCAACCCACGCCGCCCGCCGCCCGCTGCTCCAGCCGCAGAGCCGGTCCGCCCCGCCGCTCCAGCTCCCTCACGAAGCCCGCCATGGCCGCGGCACTGAGGCGGCGGCGGCGGCGGCCCCGGCCCGCCCCTACCTCCCTCCCTCTCGGGCCCGTCACGCCCGGGTGAGAGGAAATGGCGGTTGTGGGCAGCTCCGTCGCCTCAGCGGTGCCCGTGAGGCGTTCCGGGCTGCCCGGCCGCCCTCTGTATCGATGCCGCCCTCTCCCTTCCCCCGCGCCTCAGCCCCAGCCGCTTCCCTGAAGCGGCAGGAATCCCCGAGGAGCTGTTCCATGTAAACCGCTCCCTAACGCCTCCTGGCCGACTCTCCTGTGAGTTGGCCGTGAATTATATGAAAGCATATATTCTGGGCTATCCTTCCTTGACAGAAAAGCGTACTTTTAGTTGTTTTTAGTGCTAGCTGGCAGCAGAGGAGCGAACGTAGAGCTGCTGCGTTAACTGGCCGGGTTGTTGGAGGAGAGAGTGGCAGCAGCCATCGCTCGTCTGGGTACTGCGGCCTTGGGCGCATTTGCCACAAAATCAGACTTCCCTCGTAGGTGAGAAACCTCCATTTTTAGGCTACATGCAGGAGCTTGTAAGTCTGACAGTAAGTCAGACCTTCCTCATTTAGCCCAGCAGACTAAAGACGACATGAAACATCAGCCAGAGGAAAGGCAGCCGTGAAGAAAACTTTCCACGTGTGAACTGCCTGAAAATTAACACACAGCGATTCAAAATCTACTTCACAAGTTCATCAGTGCAGCCTGTAAGCACTGCGGGCATGCAGTCCCACTAGAGCCAGACGATTGCTAGAAATCATGGGTGTTGTAGACCCTCATCCAACATTTAAACTTAAAAAAAGGTTTTAAAAAAGCAGCTGAGCATGAGTTGACTGTGTCAACAATTTTTTAAGTGCAAAGGCTTTTGATTTTTTCCTTGGACATGTGGAAGAAAGTTTTTATTACCTTATTCCTTAACATTTCTTACCAATGCTCACTCCCTTCCCCAGGGAGGAGTTAACTGCATTTGCTGGGTATTCCAAATGGTATATTCAGACTTGTGGTGTGTTTCTGAAAACTGGGAAAAAAAGAAACAAAAGATGGTTTCTTTTATCCCTTCTTGGTTTTGATCTGCTGTAGCGACATCATAGCACCCAAAGAAGTTATTCCAGCTCCAGAGCAGGGGGAAATGCTGAAACTCAGCAACTCAAAATAGGATCACCGAAAACAACTAGAAAGATGTTTCTTTTGCTATTAACTGTCTTCACATTCCATCTGTTTATCTGCACTTTTCTGAGGGAACTGCCTTTTCCCACACAAGCCATCTTCAAACCCAGCAATTTCACATTTTCCCCCTCTAGCAATTTTTTTGCTCTTTTTATCTATCCCTCTAATTATGAAGTAACTGAAATGTTAATTTATTGCTATCTTGGCATTCCCTTGAACCGCACTGGTGGGAATCTGCCTGCCTTCGACCACTTCCACAGCCAAACAGTTACTTTGGGAACGTGTGTTGCTGTACCCGCTGTACTTTGAGCCACTGGCATTGCTGCTGCCGCCCTGCCTTGGAATGCTTGTCTTTGTATTTTCCAGCTCCTGTTACGCTTGGAAGACAGTTTAATTGTGTGGTAAGTTACCCGTAAGCAAGGCCCCTTTTCTGAATCATGCTGTGATTTATGTACTTTAGGTTAACTCTGGAGCTGGCCCCATAAATGTAAAAGTCACGTTTCATGCATGGGAAATGCGGCTAGGAACATTGTTTAGCTGCTGCCTTCTAGCACAAGTTATCTCGTGTTTTCGTATCACTGCCCTGGTTGGGAGATCTAATGTAAGAGATTCCTGCTCTCCTCTGCCCTCATCCTCCTGGAACTTTACTGTCCCAGCACTGCTATTGATCACTTCTGGGTGGTGATGCTTTAAGCCTGGCCTGCAAAAAAACCCTCAGGATCTTTTTCCATATCCAGTGCAGAGCACGACGAAGGGGCACCAGGGGAGAAGAAGTGAGAGGCTGAGGAAGGCAGGAGGGTCAGGGACTTGCTTAACAGGACCTGCCACTGGCAAAACAGCAACGTGGACTTGCAGGCTTATGTCTGTCCCTTTGGTCCCTGGCAGAGGACAGGTCCTGAGGGCCCACCAGGAACAATGGTCACCTTCGCTGCTCAGGACATCCCCAGATAGCAGCGAGAAGCTCCGGCAGGAATGCCTACCTCTGTCCAATCTAACAGAGAACAATGACCTAGGCTTGAGACTTTGTTAACCGCATCACTATTTTTCCTAAACAAACCATTCTGGGCCCCACTGAGTTATGTATTTCTTTTTCTCTAGCTTCAACTGTGGAATTCAGAGCTGCTGCCCAATCTCACTCTTTCACAATCAGGTTTAAGAGTTAAAAGAAGGAAGTGTTTCACAGCCCCCCAGGTATTTTTGTAGGCTGTCAACATAAAATGTAAATTGGCACCTAAAAAAGCCTGTTCTGAGAATGGCAGCCCTGCGCAGCATCATTTCCAGGTTAACCCTAATAAATGTACGCTCCTGCTTCCACAAGTTTAAACTCTCCTCAAAGTCCATCGCAAAGGTCTTGATGGAAGGAAGTACTTTGATACATACGGAAGCCATTACTAATCAACAGATGCTCAGCTTAAAATGATCTGGTAAGGGCTTTGCTGAGTCAGTACCAAAATATAAAGCTATGATATATTTTAAAATGGTATACTGAAAAATGCTTCTGGTCTAAGCACTTGTACAGGAAGGTATAAAGCTGACATCTATATATTTTAAAATTTGGGAGAGGATTTTTTTCCCCTTCAACAACACACAAAATGTAAAAGTCTAAAAAGAGATTACTCATCTTTTAGCAATAGCTGGTGCTGAGGACTTCAAAAGAGTTAATACAAGGAACTAAAAAAAATTCACTTGTTCAGCTTATTCTGCAGATCACTGGAACAGTGAAACCTGACAGCCTGCCTTTGCTATGCAGAGAGCATTAGGGGAGTAGTTCACCGAGCTGAATTTCACCACCAGATACCAGTAGAAGAGTTGTTCACAAACTTACAGAAAAGAGTTATGAGCTGCATTTTTGCTGCAGAGGAAAAACCGTAATCAAGGCATTGTCCGTTTCCTGCCTGCACTCCCCATTCATGCATCTCAAATTTGGGACTTCTTGAACATTATTTTTGCAAAATGAAGCACCTCTCCTTCATAAAGTGTGTTCTGCTCCTTGCATGAATGACCCTCAGGGTGGCACCTCAGATGGATTCTACCCCTCTTCTTCCTCAGGAAAGGAGCATGAAGGGCACAGGCAGTAGAAGACTGTCCAAGAGACAGATGGCAAGCTACATCTTCCCAAGAGAAGAAAATTAGCACCCTCCCCAGGCATATCGCCTCTCCTTTTCCAGAGGGAATGCTTGAGATGGTGGGAGCAGTATAGGCAGGCTGATGAAAAGCCAGAGCGTGACTTGGAAGCCTAAGCTGCTGCAAATCCCACCACAGTGCTCCATTTCTCCATCTAGAAACCACTTCTCCATCTAGAGGGGCCGAGGTATCTGATGGGTTAGTAGGTGGAGGGAAAGGTTAAACTCCCAGGGAGCTGTCGTGTATCAGGCCCAACTGCAGACCGGGGGACAGCCAAAGCTGAGAATAGCAGCATGGAAAATTGGGGCACTTTGTATTGCCAAAGACTTACTAAATGCAATTCTCAACCCAACCTTGTCCTTACAAGGAACACACAGTGCTCAAGCTCTTAAAAATTAAGACTGGGGTGATTTATTAATCTTGTTAAGAACTCTGATACAAAGCACAGTAAAAGGCCACAGACCAGTAAATAAAATGTGGCTTCTGACCACTTTATAAATGCTGCTACAGTACTACCAGTAAAACAGACTCACTCTCACACCAGTTCAAACAAGTAGTTTAACTGGCAAATAAAAGTTCCATTCACTTATCAGTTTAAAAAGTTTAATAAAGCTTTAAGTGTTTGCTGGTTTAAATGCTACCAATTTCCAAAATGGATTCACGATTAAGTTAAGTGAGATCTAAAGAAAGTTATTAGGTTTGGAAGGCAAGACTGTTCCTAAGCCAGAGGAAACACTTCTGACTGTATAAGATTGCAAGAGTAGCAGACTGTATTATAGGCCTCAAGTCACTTAAATTTATACAGGTTATTAGCATTATCTGTAAATATACAATATAAACAATTGTACATACACGGCATATAGCTTTGTTCTCCAGAACAGTAGACAACTCTTTAGCTTAAGACATCTTCGCCTACCAAAACAAAAAGGCACATCTGAACAAGATGCATGCTAAGTACTAGGGATCCTTTCCAATATCCGAGACAGGTAGTCCTTGTCCATCCTTTCTCAAAATAATCAAGACCAACCGAATATTTTGATATTTAGATTTCAAGCTATTTTTCTTTTTTGTCTTCAGCAGCAAATCAATGGCAATTAAGACATGGCATTAAAATATTCGGGAACAGTAGCTGTCACTCATGAACCTCCAAGCTTACATGAAGTTAGAAGGCAAGTGGCCAGAGGTTTAAAATCGGTAACACTGCATATCCTCGTGTTGTGTAATCATTCCATTGCTCTTTTTTTTTTTTAAGTTTAAAAAAAAAAAAAAAAAAGGCCACTAGTGCTCAAATTTGAAAAAATTCCACAGACGCACCTTTTTTGGCTCAGTGCAATTAAATGTTGTCAGTTTAAATTCATTTAGTGTAGTTTACAGTGCAAAAGATATATTTTGTATACTGGCATAACTGTCGGCACTGAGGATGTGAAACAAGGCAATGCTGCTGATCACCTGAGGGTAATGCTGTCAAACAGACGCAGGCTAGAGTGTGTGTAGTCTTATTTTTCCAATTTAAACTTTTTTTTCTTGATCAGCAGCACTTTAAGAGCATAATTTGTGAAAGTACTAAAATACACTGCCTTTTTTGAATAAATAAAAAAAAGGAACTTTACAAATACTATTCCAGTGTCAATGACTACTATGGCTAAGGTCATTGAGGAGTTTCTGCATTTTCTAGCAAAGACAGTCTGTGCAAAGGAGGGTGGGAGAGCTCCCTTTTGTAAGTCTTTGGTGGCAGTTTTGGTAACTGAGGGCTCGAATTGTGCCGGGGTGGGACCGGGGGCGCAGGCGGGTGGACCAGGTTGTTGTGACTGGCGCTGAGCACGCAGCAGCGGCGCAGTACCCTGGGAGAGGGTGTGCTGGGAGGAGTGCCGGGAGAGCTGGGGCCTGTGCTCGCCTCCCTGAACCAGTCGGGATCTCTGTGCAAGCGTCCCACCGGAGGCGGCTGGAGATTTAGAGGGCAGTTGATAAAGTGTTCGGGCGGCCGGAGCGGTACCGGTGGTGGAGTATCAGGAAGAGGGTCCCGGGGGGGTGGAGGAGGAGGGCTGTGCAGCGGCTGGTCAAAGGGGTTAGTGTAAGCTGGAGCACGAGGCTGTATCTTTGGAGGTGGCGGCTGCCGAGGTGGAATTGCTGGAGGATCGTCGTCCGGCTTTAAACTTCCCTACAACATTACAGAGAAGATGACATTTTAAGAAATGTAGATGTATAGATAAAGAGCCTATCTTCTGACAGATGCAGAATCCTCGTGGTGTCTGCTATTGGTGCCGTCAGAAACATGATACTGGCATAGCCGTATCTTTGATCCAAATATGACCACTATGTTCCTAAAGTAGCTAGCAGAGCCTGGACATTGGGAACCTGAAACTTAAAAAGGGCAACTGCAGCACTGCATTTGAAAGTCTTTTAGACTAACAAAGTCCTGCTTGGCTAGATGGTTGGACTCCATAATCTTAAAGGTCTTTTCCAACGTAAATGATTCTATGATTCTCGATGTTCCCTGGTTTATTATCAAAGTTATTCGGTATAGGACAGAAATACCTTAGCATTAGAAGCATCCTGATCCATCTTTTTTCGTGGAGGAAGTGGAGGAGGGTTTTGAGGCTCATCACTTAGTTTAGGAAAACTACCCCACGAGCTGAAGAAAGTCTCTGGAGAGAGAAAAGCAGGTATTTTACTGCTTGTGCAGTATCTGAGGAACATATGCTAGAATGTTAAGCCAAAGTAAAACCAACTCAAATAAGCAGATCTTTGTGCTCAACGGCAACATGAACCATTAACTTCAGTTGTATGAAATTCTTATTCATTTCTTTAATCAGATATACACCTCACAAAGTGGTCTCCTATTTCCAGTATCAAAGATAAGCAGCAACAGTTAGCAGGCAATGCTAAAGGACAGAAAAATAAATGAAGTGAACTCCTAGCGAGCACTTAACTTTCTCCGCAATCCTCTCTATATTGCAGAATTTACCCCCTTTACCACAGTGCCTGCAGTCTGCCCGCATGCTTATGTTATGCTTTGGAGTGAAAGGTTTGTTCTCTCTGCCATATGGGTACACATTCAAATTTGGAAATTTAGAGGCTTCGTTAACAGGTCTGCAACACTTCTAAAGCAGGAGAATTATACACTGAACTGAACAGATTATATTAACTCTTACAGCATTTTAGGACATTTCTAGTCCTTCCTTTTTACAGGGGTGGGGGTGGGGGAAATCCTCCAAGTTAAGAAACAAAACAACCCCCTGACCTGTATTTGTGAGTTTTGTCACACCTTTGCTTTTTCTCTCAGAAGCGCACAGAGCTCTGTATCAATACATTAGGCACCTGTGCTCTCCAGTTTGCAATTTTAATCACATTATGGAAAAATATATGTGCCTATGTCATAAGAGAGTAAAAAGAGAAGCTGAAAACACAGATGAATACAGGGTATCCCTCATAGCTGTGGTACAAAAAGTACCTCTCCTTTCCCAGTGACAGAACAGTTATTTTCACTAAGTGGTAATATGAAATTAACAAGTTGCTTCATTTGTAGCATTAGTCAAACAAAATAATCATCAAGGACGTTCAAAATAGAAGCAAAATCATGCTAGAGCCTCGGAAAAAAAACCAAAACAAAAGCAGACTGTTTTTAGACTTTACATTCTTTACTGGACATTTGACCTAAAACCTGTACAAAAAAAATCCTCTCAGAACCCTAATAAATGCAGCCCACATTTTCATGCCAGATTTCAGATTTTAACTCCCATTCAGCTTCTCTGAAACCAGGAAAAGAAGAGTTAAATGAAACATTTAATAGAGTTACGGTACTCACTCGACTGTGGCAAACTGACAGGAGCGAAGATGCTATTGTTACCTGTTAAATGAAAAATCAATTAAAGACTTTGCAGACAGGACAACTGCACTACAGCACATAACGTATGCTTGTGAATGACCTCAAAGATCATCATAATCTCCAAGTTTATCTACTGCTAGCATGAATTAAGCTTTCCTGTGTACAATATTGCTGAACTAGTGATTTTAAGTTATGCTGGGAATTAAACTTCATTATTCTACTCTGTTCTGACACTACCATGTTGTTGTTCACTTCCCCTGCAGCCCAAAAGTCCTCAGCATTTGTCATATAAAAATTGTTTGTCACTTTTGTCCCCCCCGCCAGGCTGAACCCGCCTGCCAAGTCTGCAGCCCCCTTAGAGCAGAGCCAAGACCCGTCACGCACTGCTTTCAAGACTAAGGAGCTGCTCACAGCTACAAGCAAAGCTTGGGAGTGTTATCAGTGCATCTGAAATAATAGTGTCATTTTTGTAATCAAGACCGCGTTTCAGAGCAAGTACTCTGACCATCCCCACTTCTGGCGCTTCGGTTCACATCTCAACACGCACAGACTGGATTCCCTTCAAAGGAAATTAAACCAGAATCACTAGAGTGTGTTTTGTCCTCCAGAAACACACACTGGTGTGGATGCCAGGTCCTCAGCACCATTTCTCTCTATGGATGTGCCATACTTGGTAAAGCAGGCATAGCCCCTGCACATTAGTGCCTCACGGGGACATCTCCCGTAACAGATTGCCTCAGCTCCAGTAGGCAAAAAGACTGGAAATCTCACTTGTTATACAGGGATTTCCAAAGTACACCTAACACCGAGACAAGAACTTCATAGTCCACAATGAAATTCTGGAACTTTTTTTTAAAAGGCTGGCATACACACCAATACATTTGGAAGCCTGAGGGACAGTTAACAACAAGTATTAAAACATATTGCACATTTACCATAAGAACTGTTGAGATCAATGTCTAAAAACACACTGAACTCCGAAGAAGCAGACACTGGTGGTGTAGACGGGGTGTTTGGAGAAGTTGGTGCTGATACTGTTGATTCATGCTCTGCCTCAGTGATTCTACTGAAACTTATCTTACTCGGTTCCTTTTCAAGTGGCAATGGATGACTTCTCAAGGTGCCAGAGGTGGAGCCATGTCTGCCAGTATTGGGCCTTATCCCGGGAGATTTCAGGGGGTATGTTGTTTTTCTAGGCTGGAAAAAGTAAAGCTGGTTAGTACTGCTACCATTTCAGATAGCAAAACTGCCAAGTCTCTATGAGATATTTTAAAAAGTACTTATCAAATACACCTTAAGAAGTGGTACAGCCTTTCTACAATTGACTTGAGGTACAGTCTGTTGTTATCTATACAGCCTAAAAAGTTATGGATGCAGCTTAACAAACCTTTTTTCCCAGCTCAGTAATTTTCAATTTTTTTTTTTTTTTTCCCACAACTGTGAAGAACGAAGAGTCAAGTTTCAGATGCATGCCAATCAGGACAAAACACAGGGAAGAGCAAGTCACAACCTTGGGTGAGAGAAAGTTACTTCAAGCGCCCCACAGGCCTGCAGAAGAGCCTCATAACAGCACCATAAGACATGCTTTGTGCTTATGCCACAGAAGGTCACCAGGCCCCTACACATGTCCAAGATCAAGGACGCACTCAGACACATGTTGTCTATGTCCTCTGAGTTAGTCAGGACAAAATTCTTACACACATGTCACTGGTGTGAATGAAACAAGCCTCGTTAGACTCAAGTGTAACACAGCACAGATCAAAGGCGATTCTTTGAAGATGAATTACGTTCCCATCCTACGGTGGTATGCACAACTCCACCACATTACAGTACCCAGAACTGGACTTTCCTGAAATTCCAATAAGAATGTCTAGTTTGGAAATCATGAACTGTAAAGAATTCATGCCCAGTTGACTGAGACTGGCAGCACAGATACCTATTTTTAGCAAATATTTTTGAGACACTACTGTAAGCAGGTTTTTTGCAACAGTAATTTCTGTCATTTTCTTGCCATATTTGTAATATCATCTTACTCATTCCTCTAACAGGAGATTGCTAAAATGATTTATAGCTCTTCTAAAAATTAGAGATATCTCCAGCTACTCAGAAGTACGATTACAACATATAAAAATCAAGTGTTCTAGAGAGCGATCTTTCTGCTTAAAAAAGAACCCTGGGCTCCAGTAGCTATTAAAAAAAAATAATAGAATTGGTACTCCTTTGAATTGAACTATTACTTTTTCAGCAGGAAGGTTGCACCTTGTCAATTCTTCAATTTTTGCAACAATGCAAAATAGTTAGACAAAAGAAAATCAGAAATTAACTTCTACTTAAAGAAAACACATTAATGATATAGAAAAATCCGTTTTAATTAATATTAATATTCTATAAGTTTTCTTGATACTGTGAAATGAGAAATGTTATTATGTATTCTATTGAATGACTATGGTAAGAAACCCAAATTTAAACGGTAATATTTTAGGCTTTGGGGAAAAAAGTGTTCATTCTAAAATAAGCCAAAGGTAGTATGTTTTAGTAGCGACAAACATCTGAGATAAAAGTATTTTTAAATCAAGTTTTGCTGGAAAATCATCTCGATACAGAATTCTGAAGGAAACACGTATGGCTTATTGAGTTAACTATGTACTCTTTTTCGTAGTAGCTAGTGGATTTTAGCTATTTAATTTGCAGGACAAGACTTACAAATCTAGGTGGTTGCTTGCAGTTTCGAGGTTCAATTTCTAATGACTTGTTGAACAGATAATCTGTAAACTCTTTTTCTGGTATCTTCCCCATAGGATTGAGATTTTCAAAGAATTTCTAAACAAAACAAGCATCAATAACATTTAAAAAATAAGCATGTACACAGAATTTTAATGAAACGCTTGTAATTCACTGATTAAAAATCTAGCTTTTCACTATCGTGAAGCTTATTTCCAGGAAAAACAGAGTAAAATGTTCCCCAAAATAAATACAAAACAATCCAATGCAAGAAACAACCAAGTTCATGGTAAGTTTTCTGACATGAATGAATGACCTTGCATCAAATAACCAGGCATGGTAAATTAAGTCTTCTGTAAATTGTTTGCTAATATTTTTGACTAGCGAATCACGCACAGCACAGCAGTGTTAAAGGCCATGCAACAGCGTCCTGTACACTTGCCTTAACATCACAGATCTGGGAAGGAGCAGAATAAAGACGATACAGTAGTGGAAGCAAAGGTTATGCTAGTGCCATTTCTTAGAGGTGCTTTGGATGTTATCGTTTAACTACAAAGAACAGGAAGGGATGGCGGACAAAAGCAGGAAGGTCAGAGGCAGGGACAGAGTATGGCGCTACAGCACAAGGACCGGAGGGAAGGCATGGCTAGGACAGGACTGGCACCGACGGCATGGGACAGACAAAGCTCCCTCGACGCCTGACAGTCCTGCGTTAGCTGCTCCTGCTGCAGCTGGAGCCTCTGGGTGGGAGCTACAGCATTTTCCATTTGTTCTTTCAGCAGCACAAAAACTGCCATCCCTTGAGCTTAATGTACTTCTTGGCTTATGAATACTGTAAGTCTCCTAAACCCTTCCCAGGCATGTCCACAGCAATTAAACACACAATGCAAATAACATTTTAAACAGCAGTATTACTGCCCATTTAATTATTCACATAACCAACTTCTTTGTTGCTTCCTGCCTGCTGCTGTTCACTAGCTGAGACTGAGAGCTGTCCACGCTGCTGTTTTTTGGAAAGGTTACAATTAGCCATGCACTTAGGAAGTATGGCTGGGTACTTAATGCTGTGCTTTTCAATCATTATTACCTCCATATAAAAACACCTACCTACCATTACCTGGCTCGTTGTTTCAGCACCTTCCTTTAATTATCTGGGATTTGCTAGTCTTTGTCTTGGGTAAGTAACTACTCGAGCATGCTCTCTTCTCATTTCTAAAGATAATGCTGGCTGACACTGGTGCATCCCCACATTTGCTTAGCTTCTGCCATGCTGAATGACTGTTGGTATTTGTGCTGAACTACACATCCTCTGACTGTTAGCGGTGTCAGTAGACTTTGGTCAGAGGTGTCATTACAGAATGACAGGACTAAACACACTAGCCACATACAGAGCATTTTAGGTTAAAAGCAACTGATTTTTCTCCAGAAAGTTCTGCTGTTTGGTCAGTATGTGTTATTCATTCTGTTTTGTTGCTAAAAAATCTGATACCAGGCTGCAGAACAGTAAGGGGATGAACGAGACCCAGAACATGGAATCCAAACAAGTAAATCCCCACTTCAGGCTAGTCCTTTGCAGTGGTACTTTCTTGTCTACCAACACTGTTCCCCGCTTTCTGACGGTCAGGGTTCACGTAAGATTAGGTCTAGTACCAGAAGATTATCTGTCAATTTTTCGTTGTGTACGTTCTTTTCCTTCTCCTATCCCCAAAACAGATATTTGATGTTTGATTACCCGAATTTCTGGCTCTATCCGTAAACAGTAAGGCTGGTTTTGATACTGCTGAATTTCTCCTGTTATTTCAGCCACTTTTCTCCTCTTACTGAAGTTAATTAATTCTTTCCCTTGTCTTTTAAGGAAGTCAGGATTCCCTTCTTCTGTCTTCAAAATATTTGTTAGGTATATTCCTGATAAAAAGAGAAGTGTTTTTTAAAGTTCATTTTCATTCCAAGAGATTATTTCATTCTTTCTAATGAATGACAAAGTCTGAGCATATGTAGACCATTCCTTTTAATGCTCCAACAGTTTATTTATTGGCTGGCAAAATGAATCAAGTCTGCATTTTACACAGGAACAATATACTATTGAAATAAGATGTTTTATCTCCTTAACATGAGATCCTGAGTTTAGCAAAAAACCCCGACATCTTCAGGTCATCACCATAATCAGATCACCAATATGGAGGCAGTGTTAAACCAAGTAAGGTAATATACTATAATACCAGTAATCTGTATACTAAACTAGAAAAATAAATTTATATAAAAGACACTAAGTCTAAAAACATTACAAACCTAGGAAGTCAGTCACATATTATATTAAAAAAATTTTAAAGCTAAACACAGCCCTGAACACTTTAAGCAATATTAACACATCTGCATCAAACTCAGCTTAAGACTGACAGTACACACAATATTAGCCTTCCCTGGTGTTACTTACCAAAGAAAGGCACACAGGGTGGATTAATTGACTTGAGCTTAGCTAGGTATTTTTTAAAATGATCTTGACTTAATTCTACTGCTTCATCCAAAACTCTTTTTTTTCTTTCCTGTAGTGCCTAAGTTGCCAAAGAAAAAAAACAGGGATGCAAATCTTCTCAATAGCACAGTTAGCAAGAACAAGGCAATTCCCTAGATCTCTTAGCAAAACTTAGGAACTGAAATTCAGATTTGAAAGAACCTCTTTTGTAAATGGTTTGCTCTGGACTACAGCACTATCAGTCCAACAATTTAGTCATGTGAATCATAAGGCTAATGTAAACAGACTTATTTTGTCTACCAAGCCTATAAACATAACTCTGGTCTTAAAATTTAATAAAAATTAAACATGTAATTTTGAATTTAACTTAAAGGCCTTGTACTGCCTTTCAAAGACATACAAAACTCAAAACATTTTATTCATGCTTCTTTTTCTATTTTAGTCAAGGGAGGCTTTTCTGCCAAATCCTAGGCATTTCTTTTCCTTGGCAAGTGAAAAATGGAGTCACTACTTGTGTAGTAGCCTCTCTTCCTACCATCCATCTAAACAGTTCCAGCACGTTTTTGTTTCTGCCTCCAACAATCTGAATTTTGTGAGACTCTCTCATCCAAGAGAAGTTCTTGTGATCAACTGAAACCTGAGCTTTAGCTATCCCCTCTCCATGCCCTTCTACCCCCCGTTTCTTGTGTACATAGGAAATGCTGCTGTTAAAATATTCCAGTCCAGGGTTCTGAGCCCTGGGATCCTCCTCTTTCATGCCCATAAAATGCTGGACTGAAGCAACAGGTTCATCTCAGACAGAGTAAGGAACAACAATTGAATGATCGTGGCATTTCCCCTTTTGGGGCTGAATACTCGTGAGAAAAAAAATCTGCTGAAAAGCTCCACTTCCTATTTACAAACCCTTTGAGATACCCAGCCCATCTTGTATGTTTTCTCATAAATAACTTCGAACATTTCACACTTGTTTTCTTCCATGAAAGCAAGTGTGACATGGATACTATGGATTTCACTTCAGAAGTGAGATGTTTCTGGATTCTGATTATTTCCCATCCCCCCCTCAAGAGCAATGCCCAAAACTTACCTCAAATGTGTGATCTAGTCTGTACACTGATACAGAGTTCATTGCACTGACGATCTCCAAAACACCATTGAAATTATTCAGATCTTGAAAAACCTGCAGGATTTCTATAATCCTACTCAGCACAGCCACTCGCTCTTCGAAGTTCTCAGTTTCCACAATGCACCTAATCAAGAGACATAATTTGAGAAACACTGATAAATAAAACCTGACATTTTGCTAGCTACTAAATCAAAATTTTCCAAGCAAAACTGTACAGTACATCCAGTATACACATTTTGGCGCGCTCTCAAGAATCTCAAGTACAAATTTATGTAATCACATCTTACATATGTTCAAGTTGGAAAGCCAAGAAAGGTTTTGGCATATCCTGTAAAATAATAAAGCAAACCCCAAGCAAGATCCAGGATAAGTAGGGTGACTCTCATGCTGTATCTACAGCAGCATTTTAAACTCGCTAGGTCAGGTATACACATACAAGCTGCTACACCCTTCCGACCACAGCATTGGCCAAGTCCTCAGAAGTACTTTATCATCTCACGTGAGAAGGGAGAGAGACTAAGATAAGGGGACAGACACAACAGTGCTTTCATCAGGGATGCCGAAAAGTGGTGCCAAGTCCTGCACTGCCTTCGACACCTTTTGATGTACTGTAGAAACATTAAGTAGGACCCGTGCTGACCAAGTGGACATAACTGGAAAGAACCTTCCAGACTCAGGAAGGGGGAGCGTATGCGATCGGCATGGCACACACCCTTGAACCAAAAACAGGAACTACTGTAATACCCTACAGCCATCTCAAGATTCAAGGAAACAGAATTCAAACAGCAGAAAAACATTTCTCTTGGGATTTCAGTAGGAGTTAATGCCACAAGACTATCACCACCTGTACTTACTTTTCAAACCAAAGAGTAAGATTTGTAGTATGACGAATCATTTTCAATAGATTTGGGGAGTTAATTTCCTTATCTTCTTTAGTCCACACACTACCAACGAGTTCAGAAGGCTGTACTGCCCTGATAACGACAAAGCAAGATGCAGAAGAATGCTCAATACAAATAATAATTTTATACTCGTGTTTGCATTAAAAGATTATTTCTTCCCTTCATCATGACTTGATTCTTCACAAATACAATCCAATCTTATCTACTGCAAAACAGTTACTTAAAATAACTTTTTGACAAGTATTTGACTACAGAAGGAAATACATTTTTATCTTAATTGAAATTGGCATTTTTGAATAAGCATTTTCAGGTAAGAAAATTACAAAGCAGTAAATTTAATTTCCTGAAAGCTTATTTTAAAAAGCGTCTCAAAGTCAGTTATAATTTAAAAAAAAAAAAATAGGAAGTTGAAATACTTCGAGCAACCTGCTGGTAAAGTGGCCTATTTCAATAGAAAAACCTGCTGTCACTGAAGCACAAAAGGATGCTTCATCTTGAAGTTTTGTAAGACTTTAGAGAATTTCTACCCAGCAAAACCTAGCTCTCACATCAAGGCTAGCTCTATTTATCACAAGTAACAACAGAGCTAGGAAACAGCCAAGTACCTATGGTACCAGACGAAAAAAACCTCTTCAGAATTAGATTAGAGGACCTTGATGTAACAGTGCTATGGTTATATGCATATAACACCTGGGCCTTTGCTATGTAGCTATAAAGGAAAGGAGCAGAAACAATTATGTTCTCCTTTTATGATGCAACAAGCACTTCTTACCAATGTAACACTAAGTTTGCTTTTAACAAGGAGACAGTACAAGTTAGTATTATCTACTCGTAACATTTTAGTGTCCTTCCTGTACTTATTTATGTTGTCAGAAGTCTGATATGGAGATGAAAAAACTTTTTTTTTTTTTGCCTTGCATATTTTGATATTGAACAGATGGCAAGAAAACCTCTTTCCATAAACTCTGAAAGTCAAGGAGACGTACTTTTGACTGATTCTACAGCTCAGGACTCTTTCTTGCTCAAATAATCTGAAAAAGTCATGGATTAGTTCTATCCCTACCTATAAAGGTCAGACTCGAGAAGCGTTAGCTGTCGAGCAATTTCTATAGGATGCAGAGTCATGAGGTCCAGCGTTTCGCTGTGCCCAACACGCCAAATGTGCCACTCAACTGGGGGAGGTGGGCTCTCAAAGGTGATGTTGTGACTAATTCCATTTGCTTGAGCTTTCTTTCTCTTGATGATTTTAGCAATTGATTCCACCCACTTCTTCATGGATTTTCCTGCAAAACAGAAACCATGAAAAAAACCTTTTAAAATATTATCTTAAATGACTTTTGATAATCTAATAAAACCACCTCCCCCAAATTATACATGCACTCAAAATTCTGCATTTCTGCATGCAAATTAATTAGGTTTGTAGTTCCCTTTTTTTTTCCTTATGGGTTCCTGCACCTGTATCAGTTGACAAATACAGACACATGTGAATGTATTTTTGGGTGCCCAGTTGTGTTTAACCACATCTACTGACAGCTTTTGAGTGGAAAAAAGTGACCCTGCATACGTTATATTTTACTTTTTCCCCTCAGCTGCAACCATCTTCACTTTGACTGCTAGCTTCATCTACTTAGAGAACAACTAAAAAAGTAAACAACAAGCTTCAAGTGAGATCTTTGCAACATGCTGTACTAGTGCACTGCAGAACAAAAAGTTTAGAGAAATACATGTTTACACTATCAGTCCAACATTTACAGTACCCAAAATAGTGGACAAGACAGGAAGTACCTTCAGCAGTTCGAGACAAATAGCTTTTAAGGGACTAATCAATATCGAATTATTCCTCTCTGGTCAGCAATAGCTAGCATGGAGACCTCTGCAAAAGATAAACTACCACCCTCTAAGTTTGTCTCAGAATTATATTGCCCAATGTATGGTCTGGCAGTCTGAAAAGGCAAGCCTAGAATTGCCAGAATAATGATTAAAATTGACATGCCAACACTGTTGCCCTCCACTGAGGCTGCCAAAAAAAATCTGCCAGTTCGTAAAGGATTGCTCCAGAGGAGGTGATACCAAATGGGTCAAGTATCCTCTCCTAAAAGGATAATGATTTTCAGCTGGAACTTTTAATAAATGGGAAAAGAACAAGATGGAAAAAAACCAGTCTCAGTAACCAACAGGGAAGGAATTCTCTATGAATACAACACAGGGAGAAGGAAGGTGACAGTCTGAATTCTAACAAGTCTATTGTAGAGTCACGCAAGGATGAACATTACTGTCCAGAAGTAAATACACTTAAGGTAAATATCATAATGTTTGAAGTAATTTTTGGTAGCTGTTTAGGCTCCAGGCCAAAGCTTGCTCATGTAAAGTAGAGTCTCATAAGCAGCTCAATTAAAGTCATTAAAATTACTCATGTGTGTAAAGAAATTCTCATGCCTAAAACCTGTCAGGGTTAGACCAGCAGGTTGTACCAAAATGTGGAAGAACAACAGGACCACCAATTACCATACCTCTTACACTGGAAATAAACGTCTCCAATCTCTCTAGTAACTCCAGATCTCTTTCAAAATCGTAAAAATGGTGCTCTACCCAGTGGCGAAAAACATTTAATATTCTGAGGAAGGAGAGAAAAAATAAAATATTATGTTTCGTTTCTAAGGACTTCCAAGGCTCGTCCTACGTAAACACTAAATGAAACACAATTCTACAAAAAACGAGTTACTGATTCATGTAGTTGACGACTATCAAAATACATATGGACAGAGGGGCAGAACAAAGACTAAGCATGGCACCAGTGACCACAGAAGTCCCCAGGTATTTAAAACCTAATTTTCCAGTCTTGGCATATATATAGTTTGGTGGAGTTTTTAAATCTTATATAAAGAATGCTAGTGTTGAGGTGGTTTCAGAAGAGGAAAAAACTTATCAAAATCAGATGAAACTGGTATTTCTAATGTAATTTTCTGATTATTTTTTTTTAACTAAAAAGCTGATTAGGATCTCCCATTTGGTAAGAAACAAATTTATAATTATTTCTTTCCCGTACAGAAATTTCAGCTTAGAAGTTGTTGCGAGTGTACTGCCCTACTTTTACAACTTTTTGATTACACAAACGGCTCTACTAGATCCAGTACTTCTTTTAAGGATAACACTAAACTTTCTCTTGGTTTTTCTCTACACTTTCTTAAACAGACCACTAATAAGCAAGCCTCTCAAAGTTAACTACAACTGCTCTTCTGCCTTCTACTCTTAGGGTGTAACAGAATAAAAAACTGTTTACCTGAAGAAGAGGCAAAACAAGTTGAGCTCGTACCTCAAAACTCTGATTTATTGGGGTGCACCGTATCACCTTACCTGAAGGGTGAGCAAAAATCTCCTACATCAACTAGTACAACAGATTTTCCCTGTGCCAGTTCAACAGGTGGGACAGGATGATGGGGTTAATGGAGAGCCCACGGTCTCAGACTCAGAGGAGATAGTTACAGTAAGATGTGGTTACTCCTGCCCCATCACCCCTTTGCAAAAGTGGCTCAGCTGTATGCAGGATGCTGCTGAACTCCCCCACTCTTTGCAGCTCAGGATATTAAGGTAAACCAGTGCTAACTGTGCATCAGACTACTGTTGGTGGTGCCTCAGCCCTGTAAAGTGGGGGCAAGAACATCTGAGAGGGACAGGGCAGACAACTGATTGTAATCTGCCAGTCTGTTGTGAGTCAGAGCACTAGAGAAGTTGGCTGGTTTAGGTTAGTCAAATGAAGGGTGCTCTATGTGAATACATCGAGAATTAAATAGTTCTCCTTTTCAAGTGAATAAGTTAAAGAATAAGGTTTATCACATGAAAGAATGGCTACCCAAACAGATCATTTAGGCTAGAAATTAATGACAGCTTCTAACTGTCAAAAGGAGTGATGTTTTGAAACAAGTTCCCAATAACAGTAATATAGGATCCTATCTAATCAGTCTTTTCCTTTGAGATATCATGGCAGTAATACTGAAAAAGCAAGAAAGATTGCCTGGTTGTGCTGACTGCATTTGCAGCTTAGCACCCCCTCTTTCTCATGACTTTGCATGCATTTCGTCTAGTCAAAGACATTACCATTTCCCTGCCTGTGTACTGCACACCATGTCTACAGCATTTTCTGCAAGATGGGGAGTAAGCTTTAGGGAGGGAAGGAAGAGGAGGAGGGAGAGACGAGCATCTTCACATTCTCCACCTTCTTCCCAAACCTCAGGTATCTCTTGAAGTAGCGATCAACGCTATTACCAATACTGGAATTTACAAAGTACTGGGCATACCAACCTAACAGCTCAAATTCAGGCACTTATTTTCAACTGTAAGACAGTTAAGAGTTTCAGGCTACTAGAAACATGTAGTATCTCCTAAATTCAAAGATTAACTATAAGGGTGTGTGTTAAATAGCAGCACATCTCATCAAGCAGGCACCAGTAAGAGGACTCAACTCACCAACCACAGCATAAATTAGACAGCAAAGAGTAGTTGTTACGATAAGAGGTATCCTAATCTCTCAAAGAAGGAAAGAAACCAGAAACCAAAACCAAAGACCCTAGAAACTTTGGAACGGGGCAGAGGTGTCAAACAGCTCAAACGTAGCATATGAAGGCAAAAGTGCTAAACTGATTTTGGAAATTAATAGCAAGAAACATAGTTAATTGCTGCCTCAAACTTTTCTACAGATTCCAGTTCATTGGTAGCCACTTGTCGTGCTCAGCTATGGCAGTCAGCAGTGCTGCAGGAAGATGCATCTGTAAGGGGCACTGTGAGGAGGTCCCCAAGAGACTTCCATCCTTGTGAGTAGAGTAAGCTACAAAAAATAGTAACAAAAGCAATACAACAGTATTTAAACTTTTGAGCCAATTATGTCACAAAAGCCCATTCTGTGTGAGTTTCTCTGAAGGGCCTCTATAGGCACCTATGTGGATGGATGCCAAAACAGTTACCAGAAAACAGCAAGCTGAAATTAGGAAAAGTATGTGCTGAGAAGTAGCATGTGAAGCTCTCCCAGAAATTGATAACTCTGGAGACTAGTGGTCCTGCTGAACCCACAGGAGCTGATAAACTGAGAACACCAAGGGTCTGATAAATCTGTACAAGGCCACAAGCACACACAAGTATGAAGGTTACGCTGAGGTTGTATAACTTGGGACTGCATCCAAGAAGGTGGCAGCAGCTATATATTGACAAACACTACAGTATTTTTTTTTTTTAACATATATGCATACAGGTATCTGATGAAGATAGGACGCTTAAGTGACTGTCTGAACACCTAACTTGAAGGTACTGGCATGTCAGTATGACCCTTCACTTTGACTAAACTGCTGTTGCTCCAAACAGGTAACTATAAATGACTGTGTGAGGGTACTGTGCGTATAGTTATCTGCCATTAACAGTAACATCTCGATGCTACTCATAAAAACAGTTTAACGAATAAAAGTTGTTCTAGCAAATATTGGTTGTGATCTGCGTCTCCTCCTGACTTGATTCCCTATCAGGGAAACAATTAGCCTCATTCATGCCAGAAACACTTAACTGTTCCCCCAGTTAGCTTGGTCATCAAGACCTTGAAGATTCACTGCAGCCTGTTGCAACGTGCAGTACAGACAAGAGTCTCCCTGTCTGTGCAAATACATCAACAGGGCTGGGAAAGGGAGTAAAATACCAGCAGGACTGAAAAAAATGGAAACAGAGAAACTATCTTCATAGGGCCTCTTAACAAGGAATCCATTCAAAATGCAGTCAGAAACACTTTCAGTTATACATCTCTCACCCACACCCGCTTTACATAGCAGCAATACAGCGTTCTTGTGGGTGGTGATCACAGCTGTGAGTGGCAGAGAACCAAAGTACAGTTGCAACAACAACAGAAGTCAGTATGACTAATCAGAACATGGTTTGGGATATTAGTCTGGTTGCAGACAGTGATAAGTCTCTACTTGACAGCACAGCAGTCTCCAAAAGAGATTACTGTCTCCAGGATCACCATATAATCAGTGAACTCAAACCTGGCTTTAACAGAACAAATTTAAAAGCAAATAAACCTGAGTTGTACTGGCTGGACATATTCCTTGCGAAATCGCTTAAGGTCTGCGCTGATAGGCTGCTCCCCTTTCTCAATTGCCAGCCTGTCTGCTTCAGTGGGCTCAGGCTCCGGGATTTCAAACCTATGAATAAAAGCACCAAGAAACCGATGGCAATTAAGATAAAACACAAACCCTTTATGTAGGACATGAAGAGCAATTGCATTTAAAAAAAAAATAAAATAAAATCAGTGCGGTGGAACTCAAGCACTCATCTAATATCCAGTTTGCCTGGAATTCCCTCCTCCCCTAGCTATGTAGTGCTAACACACCCAGCTCTCGCCCTGATAATTCGCTAGTTCTCTGGTCATCACAAGATGTCTAGACTAGGATATAAGGTTTTTAACTACCCTAGCTTGATTAAGTGAAGATTAGAAGAAAGCTTAAGAGCAGCTTTATCACACTGTATTAAAATGTTGTTTACATTAAGAGTCTGTGCCTTTCAAACAAACCGCTTAGAACACTTCCGTTCTTATTTGCATCGAGACTTTAGGCATACTCGAATACACTCTCATGATCAAGTTAAGCAGTTCAAAACATTACCACCCCACAGCTGATGCACACCAAGTGCTCCAGCTAACACTTAATTCAGGTAACTACTTTAAACTGGGAAAAGGAAGCTTGCACTAAAAACTTGCATTGCTGTATCCCGTTGTAAAAGTTACTGTTTTACAAGCTTCACTAAAACATGTGCCACATGGCACTGAGAATCCAAGCAGAAAAGGAGCAGGTAAATACACAAAGCCTTTCAGTATCTTCAGAAAGGATGACCAGTACTTACCTTTCAATCAGCAAACTCAACAGTTCCTGGGGCTTGCAAAAGGAGCGGTACGTGGTAAGGAAAGTACGTACAAAATTAGGATCTGTAAAGATAGAGTAAGAAAATAGTGGAGTGGGGTTTTTTTCATCCAATTGCAAAATATCAGAAATAATACTCATACACTCACAGAAGGTTTAAAGTGCAGAAAATACACTAAGGTTGTAAGTCCAGCACTGTAATTTTAAAAGTACCAGAAACGATACTGCTTGTGAAATTTCCATTTAGTCCTCTGACACATTTCCCCTGTAAAAGTACTCAACTGCACATACTATGTTCTCTCAAAAACTGTGTCTCAGTCTCAGCACGCGGAATGACTTACACTCCCTGTATATGCAGCTATTCCGTGGCTTCATAAAGACAAAGAAAACATGGTAGAACTAGGCTGTCTACTCTCTTCACATCAAAAATACCTATACCACCCCAACAAAACGCTATCTTACCTGTTCTTAAAAAATCTCCAGCAGTGGGGACTGCACACCTGCCCCAGCCACACCACTGCAAGCACACAACTACCCTCTGCAGAGCAGCCAACAGGGAAAACATGACAAGCAGCAGAGGCCTTACAAAGCAAATACATCTTGAACTGCTGCAGGTATCTCCACAAGCCACCACACCTCCCTCCTGCTGTTTCTCACCGCTACAGTAGGTGTGTTACCATGAGACGTGCCTATCCGCAAGCTACCACGTGTTTTATTGGGCCCACTCTGCTATATTACAAGTATTAAAGGAAAGACATTGTTCCCTTAATCTCTTTTAATTCCACTCTCTTGTACAGAATTTCTTAGATGGTGAACAAGCAAGCCGATAAACAAATCACTTCACCGTGAGCCACGCAGGGTCATCATCTGGTCCTAATCCTGACATCCCTGCAGCAGACCTCCTCACAAGGGTAACGGAGGCAAGACGCTGCTACTGTGTGGTATGCAGCAGCTTCCAGAGCTGCCTGGGAGCAAATGAATGCTGAAATACAGGAAAACCTGGCCTAGAAAAGTGCATGTGCATACGTTCACTCAGAAGTGTGGATTTGGGGTTGTTAGGGGTTTCTTTTTTCTTGCTGTTCTGTAAATAGTCTTGAATCTGTCAGCATTAGGTACAGGTAGCTTAGACCAGCAGTCTTCAACAAGTGGGAATCGAATTTCTTCCAATAAACCCACAAAAGATTAAGACAAACACTGCTTTTAAGAAGGCTTAAATTCCCTGCAGAGCACTGCTCAACATTTTTAAGGGATCCATATATAGGAATGTGCTTGCAAGCTAAGAGTAATAGTGCTCTCATTCTATGATAATGCTGCTGAGTTTGCACCCTAGTCCTGCACTGGCCTGTTCTGCTTCCACGTCACATCTACATTCACTCTTCAGTACTATTTACAACACTTTAAAAGTAAATCTTCCCTCTTACCACTGAACAGGCAGGTAGTATCTCTGCTCTGCAGACAAGATCTGCAATTCTCTTAAAATGGGGGCTGCTACTCTGCTCTCTGACCTGTGTAGCTTCCTTTGTATTATTTTTGAAATTACTTATTTCTGTAAATGACATTCTCAATAAAACAGAAAGTACAAGCAATGTGCTACTAAGAGTGGCTCGTGGTTTAAATTCAAGAGTTTATTAACTCTGCATCTGCTGTCTCCCATGGTATCCTGGTATCAGCTGGGGACTTCTTTGACACGACAGAGGTCATTCTGTGAATGCAGAGCCATTGTGCTGGAGCAAGGCCTGCTTCAAACAAATATGAAACTAAGGCAAACGTCCGATAAACTGACAGTTAAAAAAAAATCATATCTTGACCTAAATACAAACAAAAAGCACCACCAAGATCTGCTGAGAGTCCCTCCACATGCTGTTAGTCATCGAAATGCCCTTATGGAGGCTGAGGGAGATGATTTTGTTAGTCTTGGCTCCAAACACTGTTTGGAAAAAGCACACAGAAACCCAAGAGGCAATGCTTTCATTGAAGATTCCCAAGGCCAAAGTGGCAAGTTGCGCTATAAAAACTGAAGTTACGCTATCAAACTAATACTCAAATACACCAGTTCATTCAGGAAAAGGGCTAACTCTACAAGCCACCAAAACCCATCACATTTTAGAAATTAATGACTCAGGACTCATAGACAACACAACTATGGATTACTTGTATACCAACTAGTTGCATCAATACTGAGCTTCAATGTGGGAAATGTTTTTTTTGTTTTTGTTTTTTTTTACTTTTTAAAAAATATACAGCTCCACACTATCTAGCCTTGGTCTTACAAAAAAGACTCACTTAAATACTGGGCACTTTTGTAAAAAGCACAAAGGAGACCATTACTAAGTTTTACAAAAATTGCACACCACTTCCACCAGCACCCTTCTGTCAGCTTCACTGTGTTCCCTTTCAGTGCATGCTTTTCACTCCAAACCTAAGATCTAACACTTTCATCAACATTAGCACTTCATGTAACTACTACAAGGTTTCATTTCTGTGGCTTTAAGATAGTAAAGACTTTCACAGGAAAGTCTGAAGAATGCCAATTGTGATTTGTATCCTTTTCTACAAAGTGGCAGGTTGGAGCATAATAAACATAACCTCAACCTTCTTCTTCCTCCACAGTCACACAGCCCGTAATAGCACCACTGCTTGAGCCGTGATGGTCTCAGGAAACACACTACTGGTTCCTATTAGACCACTGATACTTTTTTTTTTTGGCGGGGGGAGGGCTTGCATACCCCAAATTTTCTTACAGCTTTGCCAGCAAAGCCAGTTGATTTGACAACAGATACCAGGGGTTTTTTTCTGCAAATCTTGCTTTATGCAGAGAAAAAACCCAAACAAACAAAAGATAAAAGGATTCATTTCATCACCAATACAAGCATAAGCTTAAAAAAATATATAGAACACAAATGTACAGGATACCTGCATACATATGGTATGTTAACCTTTCAATTAATTTCACAACTGTTCCTCCTTTGATGATAGGAATTCCATTCCTGCTTTGCAAGTTGTCCTCAAAAACAATGTTATCTTCAGAGTCTTCCACTACAAAACGATACACACTTGGGCTAGGTAACCTCAGTGGCTGTTCATTTTCTTCTTGCAGTAACACTGAATCAAGCATCCTATCCAGAGTACTGCGATACTGGAGGGAAATCAGAGCAGCCATCCAATTACTCTTCTCTTCAGCAGTCTTGGCAGCAAACAGTATACTGTTGTCATCTTTAGACACCAGTTCAAAAGCATGTTTATATTCAGATGTGTCATCTTTATCAATAATCTGTATTTTCCTCATGATAATTTTTTCCTTCAGTCTATACTCTGCATTGCTGTAACCAGGAAGCCGTGATTGACCGTGATTAGTTTTACAGCTGATCATTAAACCATCAAAGAGAAAGATGTGGCGTTCATGTTTGGCTCCTATTTTTGTCAAGCTTCCTTCCATTATGAATTCATTACAGCACTGCCCAATATCTTTGCCTTCCCAGCCATCAATATTTTTCTGGATTTCATTCATTTTCTTGATGGCCAAGTGCTTGCTTCTTATTTGTCGGTTATAGAAGCGACAGACTGGCTCCCTTGAATGAACAAAAGAAAAAGTCATGATGGGCACACTCCACATTTGCCGACCCAAGAGACAGAAAAAAAAATAATCAACTGAATTCATTGTTTATATCATTATTTCTTTGCCATAAATACACCTTAACCAAGTTTACTATTCCAAAAAAGCCACATGCATTGCTTTGGCTAGGGAAGGAGTAAGATACTGACATTATTCAAAGAAGTGGACTGTGAAGGTTTTGGGCTGCTACGTGTCGTGGTTTAACCCCAGCCAGCAACTAAGCACCACGCAGCCGCTCACTCACTCCCCCCCATCCCCGTTTACAATGAAAACTGACATAAAGCCATGCCTTGAAAAGGAAATATACAGATTATCTAACAAGAAAAAAATTTACAATTCCTTCCACATCATTTATCTCCTTCTCTGCCAACTTTGGGACACCAGGGTAGTTTTGTGGATTATTACCCAGGCCGACGTCTTGGGGAGTGTTTGCTGTAAATCCGCTCCATGCTGCACTGCAGATTCAAAAGAGCAGTAATGGCTTGTTTTAAGCACTCCCGATCCTCTTCATCTTCACTGCATTCCTGCAATTGCTGGGACACAATAAACATTTTTATTTCAGATTTATCTAATTTATAGAAGGGTAGGAAGGATGAAAAATATTTTTACACGGTGTTATCCACTGTACTCAGAGAGGTCAGCGACTTCAAGTCAATGAGACCGTTATTACTAGAAGCACACTCAAAACTAGCTATGCATGTAACTAAAAAACATTTGTCAGATATTCAGAAGTCAGTAGATCTCAACAGGAGAGAGCAGGAGAGAGTTTAGAAAGAAAACCCTTTACCATTCTACTGAGAGTCAATGCTAATTGTCATATACTGTTTTCCTGTTATCTTTTCAACAATGTCCTGTTTCACAACTGATTTTATTAAATAGTTTGGAGGTTTGAAATAGCCGAGAATTAAATGCTGGTTTATGTAACTATGCGTAGCATAGCATTCCTTCAATGAGTCAATCTCAACATTTCAGAGCAAAGTTAAAAGATGGAATGACCAAGATTCTCTGTTTGCTCCTTACCATTCTAAACTCTGCCATCTTCAGCAAACTCATCTATTTCCAGAAGAAATGTCAATTTTGCACAGTGCAAACTAACATAGTAAAAAAAAAAAAAAAGTCTGAAATTCAAGATTTGCTGCTAATAGCAAAATGTAAAGGCAGCGAGAATCAGTGTACTTCCTTTTTATAAAGACCAGATCTGTCTCCACTACTAGGAAGAAACTTATTGAATTATAGAATTCAACAGGCTTTCATTTCATCTCCATACACTTGGTAGCAATATGCTTTGAGCAAAGCCTATTCACAGAGTTTCTCTTTTTGGTTCTTTAAGGTGATCACTCCTAAAATACTACTGATTATAAATAAAAGATATTTTTCTTTTTAACCCCTTTCATGTTCAAGATTGTATGAATTTTTAAGAAAAATCAATCAAATAGATTGCTGGGTGAAATCAAGACAATATGCCACGCAGTTTTGGATAAACTCTGTTTTACCTACTACTTCAAGAGAATTCTTACTTACAATCACTCAGCATGGCAGAAGCCTTCTTTTCCTTTCCCCACTATGCTCCCTCAGCAAGGATATGTAGCTTCCTCTAAAAGTAATTGAGAGAACAGGATTTGACCAGATTGGGCCACTCTTTTAATGTAATTTAAATTACTAAAATTTTTATTTTTCACATGCCCAAACAACCTCCATCTTGCATAACAGAGAAACAAAAGTTTCATGGCCAAAAATTTCTGGGAAGTTTATGAGCTGAGGAACAGTACAGGGAAGGGAAAAATAAGATGTCTACCTCTGTGGACACCCTTCTTTTCCTTACTATCAGCCACAGAAAGGCAAAGAACATAAATATAGTGTGAAAAGATGACAAGTGCAAAATCCTAAAGGTGGGAAAAGCTATCGAGTCTGATAAAATACTCTTTCTCCTCACATGTCCTGAGCAGAATTTCTTGGATCACCTTTCCAAAGGGAGCTGTGTTTGGCAGTTAACAGACATCAAGTGGCATGTTTTGCTTTTTTTGTATTAAGAAAGAAAAAAAATATACATACACACATTTGGAAGTAATCTAATCTATTTCTACACCTTAATGCATAGATTCCTGAAGATCAGGCAGAGCACCTGAAGCATATCTCATTCTCTGTAACCGCTGGACTAACATCTGCTTTTCCAAATACCAGTTCTTAACAAGCATCTTTCTGATTAAACAGCAGATGCAAAAGTGTAACATGCTTGCTAGACAAAGAAAATATGTAAACCTTTAGAAAAGGGAAAAGGGGGCCTGTATTTAAAATACCAGTGATGATAAGCTGAGAAAATGAACTCTTCAATATCCTATACAGAAAATTGTCAGAAAATAGTAATGAAGAACACTGTTCACTTAAATTATACCACGGTGATCCTGTAGAATACTGACTGGGGCTTCTCTGTCAGTCAATCATTAGGTAACAGTGGGAAAGATTAAAAGGCTGAATTTCATATGTTTTGGGTTGCTTGATAACAACACAGCAAGTCACATGCAAGAATTAGGGATAATCTTGTGCCTGCAAGTCACATGAGAAGGAAGGATATACTCTCTATTCAATACAGGAAAGCCTTGGACTTGAACAGAGACTTGAACAGAGACTTGAACAGACCTTCAGGATTTTAATGATACACCTAACTGGCATCTTGCTCAGGATTCGGATGGATTATATGACCCCTTGTGTTCTTTGCACTGCATTCAAAGAATAACATTTCCTAGACCTCTGACACATTTATGAAAGCATACCTGGAGCTTGAAAGTCTGATGAAACATTAAGCTCTCCTCTACGCTGCCAGCATGTAGAGCATTCATGCTTGGAAATGCCAAGCACAGTGTTTTAAACCCAAATACTCTGATAATCAATTAAAGATATCACAGTCAGAATCCATCTGGGTTACCTGTTAGCAAGACCTAACAACTTTTGATCACTACCACTACTTCTTCCTTCAAGATAGTTTTATTTCTTTAGTGTGAATTCCTTCAACCTTTGCTATCATCATTCATCCTGAAACAACCTACAGCAGGTTCATTTTCTGTCAATACTTGAACAAGCAATCAACATTAAAGGGTCATCAGGGCCTGCCCTCTGGCTCAAGGTGCTCAAAGACTATTTCCTGGTGACCTCTATATGGCTGTGAACAAAAAGCTGCCAAACCAAACAAATTCAACATGGGGATCTCCAAACTGACATCCAGCCCTTATGCCTCTTGCTTAGGCAAAAAGGAGTCTCCGACGCAGATCCTGCATCAGAGGCTGCACAAACAAGTTTTTGCACCAAGAAGAAAAGTTCTACAGCTTGAAAGAATTTTCAAGCTTTTCACACTTTAATTTCATTCATTTTAGTTTTGCTATTTTGCAAAATAGCAAACATCGAGGCCTGCATTTCTGTAAATCATTCATTATTTTATTTACCTCCCAATTCAGTAGGAGTTTTTTGGTAACTTTCTTTAGGAGTAACAGTCTCAATCTTAGCTTCTCTCCCTACTGAAGCCATGAAAATATGAGTATTCTGTTGCTTTTCTGCTTCCATTTTACTAGGTCTTTTTCAGCCAAGGTTCCTAGAGACAAATACAATGGTAACAGAGAAGCGGTAGCAACAGTTTGTAATATAGTAACAGTTGAATAAATACTTTCTCTATCCTTAACAACACTCTGCTTTTTAAAAATCACTGCAGTAAATTTAGGATGTTTTCAAACTGCAACATAAAATTCAAATTTTAAACCTGCAACTAAAGTGATCACAACAAAAGACTCTGTATTTACCATTATTCACTACAGAGTGGTATTTAAGATTTCTGCTCTGCTCCATGCTCGCAAAGTTAGAAAGATTCAAGACAGCCAAGCGCCAGCCTCTGCAGCTGAATTCTAATTCTATTCAGAAATCACTATGGATAAAGGTCAAATCTAATCATTTTCACTGCTAAAATTCCCTAGTTAAAAAAGGCATCGCCTAATATTATCTTTTATGCAGCATCCAGCTGTATTATCCAAGTTAAAAACAAACAGAAGAAACAATATTTTTGCACTATCTGCCAGACTTTATTCTTCAAAGATATGAGGACATTTAAGAATGTGCATGTATAACCTGATCCCATCAATACTAACAGGAGTTATGAGCAGACTCAGAGCCCCCAAGAGACAAGACAGAAAACTCTTGCAGCATTACAGATTTGAAACAGGCTATCAAAACCAAATTCTCTGCTCTGTGCCATGGTTTAAAACAGAAATAGTAGCCACCCTTTCCTGTCACTGAAGAAAAAGCTACCAAGTTTGCATGCAAAGCATTTAACCTTAAGTTTTGAAAACACACAAAACTCTACTCAATAAGGCATATATGTTAATGTTTCCCTAAAAAGCAGACAAACACTACACAGCTTGTAAAATCAGTTAAATGTTTAGATTCTCCCAAAGCTGCACCATATGATTTCATTCTTTGATTTCATACTGATGCACTCCATTTCCCAGCTTTAAGACACAATGGGGTCATTAATTAGCCTGACCTTCAGCATGGTACAGGTCACTAATCCAATTACGTCTTTTAAACGTGAAAGAAGAACATTTTAAGAAGTTCCACAGAATTATCGTATGCAACTGACCCTTACGGAATGGGAAGTTACAGTATTTTGTAAGAGAGATGTTATCTGCAAAGCTATCAGTGCTTACTTCACAGCAAGGCTGGCAGAACCATGCCATGCTTCTGCTGTCATCCTTTAGTTCTTTGATCAGTTTATTTCCTTTTGAAAGATGTCCTTATAGAAACGTAAGCTTTATGAAGGTAAATATTAAAACTATGGCAATGTAAAGTTTCTGTTCTCAATAGAGACAGTACAGTAATCTAGAGAAAAGTTCACTGACCCTTAGGGTTGTTTTGGTTGGGGTTTTTTTTCAGCTTTGTTAACTGTTTTCTAAACTGACTATCAACAGAAATGCTTAAAGATTTAAAATTTATTGAGACCACTTGGATCTAAACCTGTCTACAAAATATTGGTAATCCATACATTGGAGATGTGTGATTCATGGGTGAAAATAAATCATGCTTCTATCTACTTACCTAAATCAGGATATGTAAAAAAAAAAATCACAGCAGACATAATGAAAACAACACTAAACTTAAAAAAAAAAAAGTGCCAGATATTAACTACAGACCTGGTCTTAAAATGATTGCTATTTTTTGGCTTGAGATTATTCCGAGAAAATTTTATATTATATTATACGTAAGTTCTATGTTGCAAAGTTTCCTTTTCTTTCTTTGTAGAATTAAATCCTTTGAAATACAAAGGAAGACTATATAACACACTTGTACAACACTGCTAGTATCACTTTTTACACTGGGAATTTAAAAGTGTAATTTCTGTTGCTATTTCAAAATGTCAGCTATAGCCACAGGATATTTCACCTGTTTAATTTAAGTATATCCCAGTTAGTTAATAATTCAGTTACCCTTATAAGCATTACAAACTTTCCCAACACAATGGGGCAAAGAGAAACTGTTTTTCATTATCCTCAACTACTTAAACAAAGCTCTGATCTAAGTATTTTTCAAGATAATTGCATTTTCTACAGCAACATTATTTTTCTTATTCAAGAATGATTATTATAGATCTCAGATGTTAAATTTCTGCTGACTGCTGGCCTCTCTTCTTGTAACTCACAGCAAAAACATTTGCTTGTAAGCAAAAAGATACATGCTTAGTTACTTTTTGGCTTTTAGCTGTTATACCCAAGGGAAATATCTACTGATGTTAACCACCTTGCTAGCACACATCACAATAAAATATGTGCCAAGTGATCTGTGGTCAAACCAATAGAGGCTGTTCTAAAATAAGTAATGCCTCAATCGGCAGAATTGCTCATAAATACAGACTAGATGCCAACCTAAACAACTTGTATGGTAGGACCCCCTGTATGTCCTACAGGAATAACTTTTTATCATCTGAATCAGAATTCCATAAAGCCTGACATTTCATCAGTGTAATTTCTTAGAAGACAGAAAATAAGAAAATAGTAGTGCCTATTTTCATTCCTCCTCAATATGCAGAAAGTGTGGTATGCTATGAAAAATGATATTTTTTGCTGTACCTCTTCCATTTAGGGCTCAGGACAAATGATTGAACATTAAGAACAGATTATTCTGACTCTGCTGAAAGGAAGTGCCTCCCCAACCCCCAAAGTAAGATCAGCTGTGCTGCAACTGGAGTGTGACTTGAGACTGAGAACACTGATCTGCATTATGCCTAGCTTTTTCTGAACAGACAAACAAATTCAGAAGTCAAGGAAAGAAGAAATTTGATTTGCATATCAAATTTTTAACTGTATTAGAACTCAAGTTTAATAAAGGTTTATTTAATAAAATAGTTACTTCAAATGTTCATATCAGAGCAACAGATGCTTTTGCAGGTTTTTTTTTTTTACATGATTTTACTTTTCAGACATATAGTAACTGGTGTCAAATTAATGTTTTCATTTCTTTCAGTGTTCAGAAGCAGTACTGAAAATCTAATCACCTATTTAAAAGCTCAGATTCTCCACATTAAGAAATGTTTTTGGCAGGAAACAAGAGTGTGGCTTCATTTACCTGTAGTAACTCAAAGTAGTGCAAACAATGATAGACTGGGATAAGCATGAGTCGTGGGAGGACGTATCGTACAGCTTCTTTAAACCCTTCAGCAGTAGACTGAAAAGGAAAAATAAACAGGGTTACTTGCACTGAAATACTCAAAATGGTACTGGACAAGGGCCTGAGGTTAGTACTGCTTTGAGCAAGATGGTTGTGCTAGACACATCCAGGGTGTCCCTTCTGATCTACGTTACTCTATGCTTACATCTAGTAGTAAGGAAGACAATAAAGTTTGAAAAAACATTTTTTTTTGTCCAATGAGACTCTGTAAGATTCAGAGACACTTAAACGGTCTGACATCAAGCAAACAGAACCTGTAAACGCCCTCTTCCAGGCACTGCAAGCACGCTTTTGCAAACAGCTTCGGGTGGATTTTGATCCATACTCACTAGTAAACCCATAGCTCTGAAAACACCCCTAACCCTCCCAAGAAATGCTAGCACAATCTGTCTCCTTAAATTGGTAACCAGTTGGATGGTCCATATTTTTGCCAGAAGTAGCAAATCAAATTTAAGAAGCTAGAGGACCAAGTTACCTACAAGTCATTTTAAAAGCATCTTTTAATTGACGTAGAGGTGCTCGTATCGCAATCCCTAGCACCTTTGTGTTTCAGCACTGTCTGCAGAACTCAATTAATAGCATTAGTTCAAGGTGACAACACCTAAAAAATAATGCACTGACTACGGCTAAGCTGCACACCTTATTCCCCAGTCAATAGCCACATCTCAGAATGCAGAAAATGCTTGAATATACTTTGAAAAAGGCTTATACCCATTTCCAAAACAACACATTTTACCCTGGACCACAGTTTGCTGCAGAATTTAAAGAAAACACTGGAATGTTAAAGACCAGTCAGGACTCCCATACAATCTAATAAACTTGTCACCAACTTCCCTCTAATGTCCTTTTCTCCAAATTATGTATGCTGTGCTTCAATTTATATCCAATGACACCACAGAAACATGGAGGTCTCATCAAGTACTCAAGAAATTAATGTTAGTATCTCCTCTCCCTCAGAAACTGAGTATCACAAGTTTAAGACTTTGAAAATGAGTTCAAAATCTTTTCCCATTCCCAGCAGTTAACTTAATTCAGGTTGTAAGATGAGGAGAGGTTTTAAAGGATGGTGAAATCCCTGCCATCTTCCGTATCAAGATAACTATTGAACAGAAACTGAATTACCTGATCTCCTTTTTGGAAATGACCTCTCCCCCCTGTTTAAGACTTCTGGCTGCATCTCTCTGCAATTGCCAGAGACAGCTCATATACGTCCCATGGCCCAGAGCTCGGACCTCCGCCTTCGCTCCACAGCTTGGAGAAGCGTGAATGAACATCCCTAGGAAAGCCCAAACCTTTCTATGGTGAGTAGAGTCAGAAAGGAGACCAGATGCACTGTCAAATAACTCAGTTACCAATTTAATCTGGAATAGGGCTTTGGGCTTTAAATTTGCTAGGGAGGTAGGTAAAGGGCCTTATTTTATTCATGAAGTAGTATTTAAGAGCGAGATGATCCAGCTTACCAAGCACTCAGAGCTGAAGAGGAAACACTCACCCTGAATGAACGGCTCAGAGGAATCTCGGCTTGCAGACATGGGCCCCAGTGAACCGTACAAACTAAGCACTACTACAATGGGTTTAGCTGGGAGCACCACTGACCAAACACTTACTCAGCAGCTTCTCTAAGTGCATTTCTAAACACAAGCTCCGTCTTCTGAACAATAGTCTTTAATACATCTGCCACGTTGGCAGAAGGAAGTAATAAAAAAATAAAAATATTACAGACGATCTTGCTGGATAGTCCTATTAAAGAAATGATTCAAGAAAAACTGCCATTCCCAGCCTCAGTGCTGAACAAGGGGGCCTGGGATATGTATGGAAGAAAATGAAAATGCTGTGCCTGGGTGCCTGTGTTTGGTGTTAAAAGGCAAAACAGAAATAGAAGTGGCAGGTATGAGAAGTCACGCTCTATTCTCAAGCCATAGAGTCTGTTGAGGACAAAAAAAAACCTGCAAAAGACTCATGGATGGGTCAGAGCTATATCTAGTTTTTCAGGAAGAGGCAGAGTCCAAATATCTTACACTGAGGAAAGGTCAGAATCTAGAGGATTTCTTCCTCAGTAGGAAGTAAAGAATTACTGAAAAAATTCAAACCTTTGAAATACAAGAACTAAAGCAGTTCAGTATTTCTCATTTGCACTCACCTGAAAGTGGAGAGCAACAGCAGGTTTTGCCATTAAGTTATTAAAATGCTCATGAAATTGTGGAGAGAGAATATCCTGGGACAAGGTTTCATATGGATCAAAGGCTTGCTCCTAAATAAAAACAGAGAATTATATACATACATGAAGGAGGCAAGATATTTCTGTCCTAGCTGGTACAATTAATTCCTTTAATAAGCTGATACACAAGTGGAACTTTTCAAGAAAAAGATCGATTTTGCAAAACAAATATTCAGTAAACCACAACCCTTCTTCACTTCCAAATTTTAAAAGCACACAACATTTTCTCAGCATTCCTCAACCTCACCATACTTAGCACTAACACAAAATCTGTTTTACTGAATCAGTGGGAACCAAGAGAAGTTTCTGCTTTCAGCCCACCCACATTTCACACAGAATAGCAATTTGACTCCTCTCTGTCAATAAAGAATGACACTTCAGAAAGAAGTGCAGGTAAAGATGAACTTTGGAGACTGTCCCAAGGAGGCATTGTTGTACCACCACCATTTCAGGGTACATCACGTAAGAATGGTCAGTCATAAGCACTGGACTTCTGCTCACTTCTCTGGCCGTGTTGGAAGGCTGGGAAAATATCTCTGGGAGAAAGCAGCTAGTCTGGAAAGAGTCTGAGAGGGAAATGTTCTAACGACACCAAGGGTTTCAGGTGCAAAAATTATGGCTCTGGACAAAGTATCTGTCTGTGATTCCATAATATCAGCTACAGCAGGACGGGATGAAAACCTGACTGTACATGAATCTGCAGGAATAATTTATGACTGCTCATAGATCACCTGCTCCAAAGCCTGTCAGGCTGTTCCCCAGTCTCTGCAGATTCATTGGCCTGAATCACTCATGAATCACCAGGTTATCCGGTGCTGATGGCACAATGCCCAGAATAAGCTCATACCTCTTTTCACCTTAATGCAGAAGTGCTTGTCAGAATACAGGCTGCAGGATTTGGGAGTACCAAACACCACAAAGGCTCGTTTGAACATTCAGGTGAAGTCTCAAGTCTTCCATCTGCAGGGGGTCCAGGGGATTTCTTACCTTACTCACGGGGCAGCTGCAATTAAACTCTTTGTGGGGAGGAGAGGCACAGAATGCATGCTCTTTTCACATGCAAATTGTAATCATCACTCTCAACTCTCCTCATCAAGTTCTAATCATCGCTGTCCATTCGCATTAGATTGTATCTCGGAGGGGGGACGAAACGGGGGGAAGGTTTGGCACTTCAGCAGCAGCAGCTGAAGAGAAATGATTAGACACTTCTAACTGAACAGGCTGGTTTCCTTAAGCAGAATCTGAATCCAGTTTACAGCCTGGTTGGTTTTTTTTTGTTTTCGGGTTTTTTTTTTTCGTTTACTCCACATCTGCCCACTACCTGCAAGCATACCATAGAGGGGTCTTATTTTACAGCATCCAAATTAAAGACAGGGGACAATAATACCGCATATAGAGTTTGTCTTTGCCATATTAGCCACGAAAAAAATGAACATAAACCTCTGCAGAAGCAGTAAGTCAGCCATGGGGTGTGGGTTCAGCTGCATCCAGAGGTAGTAAGCACGAATGGACTGATGGCTGCAGCTGCTCCACCGGCTCGGTCCACCGCTCCACAGGACACAAGCAGAGCGCAGAGCTGCAACTGCTGCTCAAAATGTAATCTTGCGTACAAATCTACTGGGGGAGCCAGACCAATACATATTTATTCTGCACTGTCTTTTTAAACTTTTCACTGCATTTCAGAAGTGTTTTCAGTTTCTTCCACTCAGACTTTAATCAGTATTTTTAATTTTTGGCTTTGTTTTTTTGAATGCAAGATTGAAACTAACTGCATTAGGTATCTTCCCCACGAGACTAATAAAAAAAAGGGGGGAGAGGGGGCTTACACTTGCAATGTTGCAAAAGTTACTGAAACATGGAGACATTAACTTGATGCCCATATAAATTATCTTAATGCAGCATACAGTTCTGGACTGGTGTTTATACGTTTCAGCCCCTTTTGCTGTAGCGCACTGGTTTCTACCTTTTTTGCTTTGTGGATACCTAAAACTTCTCCTATGGAAATGCAAATACCAGCATAACAAATTTACAACCTACTGATAATAACCTTGCTTTATTAGCTGCCTTCTGAAGACCACTTCAAAGTAGCACAGAGACCCTCTGCCCTCGGTTCTGAGGCTCTCCCGCCACTAGCTCAACATCACTGAAGAGATTATCTCAGGTAATCATTAAAACACATTGCAGTAGTTAGAATTGTAAAAGTTACCGCCAAGTAAAATTTTTTTTACCAGCAGATTAACAAATATCCATCTCCCACTCATATGCGTAAGGCATCAAGTTTTTGAATTTCCTCCACACCAGGAAAAAAATGTTCTGTTTTCCCTGTACTTCCTTATCTCAAAAGCACGACAATATTTATGTTTAAACCTTCCAGAGAACTGATGCAGAAAAACAGACAGAGCAGGAAGACCCCAGCTTGCAAGGGTTGTTTGTTTCCAATTATCCTTCCAAATAAGTTGAAGGACCTTTATAATGGAAACACTAAGTGAACAAGCCTGGCAGTCAGATAGGCAGAGCAAAACTTCACTTTCATATCTCTCTTTTAATGATCCCTGTTGCAAATACTCACAGAAAGATGATCTCAACATGTGAGATGATCAAACGAACAGCCTAGTTAATACAGAGCAAGACCTCCTTAACGGAATTATTAAATTCAAACTTACTCCCTACATAAAAAGGTTTGAAGAATAATCTGTTCTTAATTTCCTATTTAAGTTTTTCAGTTAATGAAAATCAGGTGAGATTTTTACACATTGAAAAGGATTTGTTTCCTTTAAAGCACAGGATGCCTAAGAGTAGCTTTTGCAATAAACTGACATAGATATGTTTTCCAGGATAGTGCTGTACTATTTCAAATTTTAAGTCTTTTTTCAATTTTAATGTAACAGCTGTTTACTTTATTTCATTGTTCAAATGCTTCTCCTTATCATTATATAAGCAATTATGCTTTAACAACTTAAGAGCTAACACCTTGTCAACTGGACTTTCCTACTGATACGTCACATGAGTGGTTTATTGAAGTAATGCCAGGAAAACTTTATCTTTACAGTATATTCATAAGAGTGGCACATGGGCTGAAGGACCTGTATTCTTCATACCCACAAAAATGTAATCATTTTCCAAATGGTACTGCTGTGTTCATGCAGTCCTCAGATTTTAAAAACTGAACATACGTAAAAGTGAAATGGAAGTTTTATGGGTTGTCATTTTCTTCATAAACATCGTAATTTTAAGATAAAACCCATAAACTTCACATTCACCATGTGGTTCATCCAAGCTATTCTCTCTTGGGCCAGAACATCTCATTTGACTTCCTCTGCCATACAGTCAATATGGTTTACATTTTGGTTCAGAAAAACTGGGCTCAATACCCCTCTCAAGAAAAAGCATACTCCATTTAGCATGTCCAAAGACAGCAAAAACTCCACACCTACCTTGGTAATTTGTTCCAAGAGTTAGCTCCCCTGACAGTTAGCGAGGTGTGGTACATTTCTAAGCTGAACTGTCCTCTTGCCTTTCAGATACTGCTTTTATTGCTGTGCACCTCTCTGCTGAATTCCAGAGTCATTTTCTACTCTATTTTCAGGTCATGAAGGTACCTATATACCTATCCTGTTTTGACTAAACTGAGCTCTATCTCACTGTAAAGCACCTTCTCAAAAACTTCAGTTTTGTGACTCTCTTCCGTAGCCCTTCTAGTACTTCAATGCCCGTTAAAAAAACAAACCTGCCAAAATAATTGTTAATAATGTTCCAGTACGAGCCACAGCAAATCCACATGCAGTGTCTTCCCTTATTCCTACTCTTCAATATCTATTTTATAGGTCAATGGGTATCGATAGCACTTTTGCTACAATACTGAACAGTAAGTTTCTCTTCAGTTGCACGGCTGTTTTGATACTGCATTCCTTCCCAGAGTCATTGCTTTGCAGAGACATTGCCCATTCCAGATGTACAACAATGCATTTGCCTGAATTAAGAACACATTTTGTTTGAGTTAGCTCACTGTCCAGAGTTATGCAAGTCACTCGTCTTGCAGATCTACCTCTAGCTGCTATGATTTTTGGTAGCCCTGGGTCTGACACCAGTGCCTACAAAAATCAAAGCACCACTTTCTTTCAGTAAGCAATCCCAGGTAGTTACTTTTCAAATCCACATCCCTACAGGATCATAGCAATTAATTTCCACTCTGAAATAAGCTTTTAGTTTTGTGCTTACCTGCTTGATACAGTTTCTGTGACGAGTAGAAAAAACACTTTAGCTTAACCTACTAAAGAATGCATAGGGAAGATCTCTGTTCAGAGCTTACTGAAAGGACATTTTACAACTTCAAATTTATTGGAGATATCAGAGTCATCACCAAAAGTTTACTAAGAAAATAAAACAATCAAAAAAAAAACAACCCACCAAAACACACCACTTCTCCCCCCCCCCAACCAACAGAACACCATACCTCTGCAAGATCCTCAAAGCAGCTGCCAGCCAGAGGATGAGGACTACTTTCATCAGTCATTTCAACAGTATCCTCAATCAACCCTAAAAGCTTCACTGTCAGCTCATGAATATCCGAAATGTTGCTAAATATCACATCAATATCCTGTAAACATAAAACTTATCTTAGTACTGTTCAGAATAATTTATTTTGCTTATGTAAATATCAGAGCATTTTTTGTGATGTCTGAACCAAGAGGTAAGTGGAGAGGAGCCAACAAAAAGCTAGGAAGAAAGTTAAGTTGCATGGTCTTCCCATCCCTGCAGGCTTGCCTGGGCACATCCAGCCTTGCACAATTCTCACCCCGACGAAAGAAAGCACACCATCCTTCCCAGGCTGGAGCAGCAGCAGTCCCGGGACAGGCTGTTCAGTGCTTTGGACAGAAATGCCTGGCCTTTTCAGCCACAACTCACAGCTGTTATTTTCCCCTCTGCTGATTCTTGTCTCTCAGAACACAACAGGAAGGAGGCAATTTAAAGCAGCTCCAAGGTCAGATCCTCTAAACCGCAGGTAAAACTTAAGCAGCTACTTGGCTGCCTTAGCAGAATACTACCTGGGTACGGAGGAGAAATCGGCAGCTTCCTTTTCCAAATTCTACTTTTAGATTTTTCAAATCCACACACGGCAAACACACCCAACTAGGCAGCCCCTTCCAATGACCTGCATTCTTCTTCTGACCCCTCTGAAACACACTTCTCGGAAGCCTTCGCTGCCCCAACCTTGGGTCTTGACCTCCTGCCAGTGCCAAGACCATGGCAATCTCTTCGTGGGAACAAGCAATCGCAAAATTTCTCATACCAATTCCCATATAACAGAAGAATATTCCTCAGCTCCAGAATATCACTCCCTTCTCCTCCCATCATCTTCGTCTGAATTCTGTCCCCACATTTGCACAACCCTCCAATATCCTATCAGCTACTGACGAACCTCCACACCCAGCTGTAATGGGACTGTCTCCCACTGCCTCTCTTTTTAACCTGCTGGTATCATGTAAAAATCCCAGTTCAGGTTCTGCTGGCCCAGTTCCCTTCTCCTTCCTCCCACAGGAAGGATGCACCGATCTCTCATGATTACTCCTTCTCTTACAAGATCTGTGCTTTCTTTTTAGACTCCAGCATCCTGAAAACAGAATTTGCCACACAAATTTCAATCAAATACTTCAATCATTCATCAAATAGAGATTCCCTTCACAGTCAGCCACACGCTAGAGAATCCAGAGCCAAGGGCTGTTTTACTTGTTGTTTCTGCAGATAGGGGTGCCCTGGGGTAGCCTTCAACTGTCAATTCAAGCATTCATCTGCACTCACTGTACATGCTGTTAGATAACTGTTAATTTTTGTGTTAAGCAGAAGTGTAACTATTACCTACATGAGCAAAGGACTCTGGCTATTGCCGGCATCCATCAGGGAATCATGTCCATTAAGCTTCACTCTGAGAGCAGCACTCTTCATACTATTAATGGCAATTCCTCCATTTTATTTCATATACAGTCAACACTCATTATGCACTGACATACAATAAATCAAATTTAATTTTACCTCCAACACAGTTAATGTAAAATTGATATGTTATGGCTGCTAATAGAGCAACTAGCATTGCACATCAATAAGCTATTAAAGGACTTACATTAGGTGTGAACAATTTTCTGTTTGATAGGAAAGCTTCCCGAAATACTTTTATTATCAGATTCAACTCCCGCAGATATTGCCTTTCTTCTGCAATTTCGTTTCTCACTAGGTCATAGTAGTTGAGTTCCCCAGAAGAAGAGGGTTCGTCTTCACAGAGAGAAACCAAACCAATGTCATCCTGATCAAACATATCCATCAAAACCTAGCAAAGAAATTTAAAAAATTACATGCAAGCCTGATTTTTACACTTGGCTCAAGCTCAGCTATTTCAATGTGTTCAGAGAAATCCTTTGAGTTTTTAATACAATACTTTCTGTGATCACTTTCACAAGGGAGTAATATTTAAACTTTGGCAGCAGCAGGCTGGATCAGTTGCCAAAGCCATTTTCCCCTTTATAAGTTAGTACGACCTAGAAAACAAGTTACAATTCATGCAGAACCAACTTTGAAAACAAGGCATCTTGCATAAGCCTTTGACAAAACCCTCCTGATAAAGATAAAATTAAACAAAAATGTTTCTCATTTTTATGAGCATGAAAACTAAATGTCTTTTCTGTATTATAAAGAAAGAAAGCATCATCAGGAGGACAGTAACACAGCTGAGAAATAAAGGACAACATCATTTTCTGTCCTTGCATTGTTCTGTATGAGCTATTACTGTTCCAAAACTTAACAGGCTTAACTTAAACTTAAGTCTTTACTGTGACAGGTCTGGCATGAATAAGGAGAGAAACTTCTGCATATGAATATGACCATTTTCTGCTCTCCTATCCTACTTTGGATATATCGTCTAAAAAAAAAAAAAAAAAATCATCTCTAGTATCTACCTATCTACCTTTGTCCAAAAGACTATTTTAATCTCAACTCCTTACCTTATCAGCACACATTGATACTTTTATGTCCTGCTGGGAGATCTCAAAGTGTCGTATATTGAAAACATAGTTTCCAGCCAGCTTTAAAATATCAGCTGAGATGTATTCTAAGACAGCCACAATATACAGAGAGACATGGTAATCTACTTTATAACCTAGGACCTCCTGCAAATTGAAAACAAGAGAAAAAAATGCTATTTATTCCAGGAATTCATTCGGAATGACAACTAACACATTGAGTTTTCTACTGAAATTGATCTTGTCTGTGTTGATAATTTACAGTAATGTTAATCGGCAGGGCAAAGGGCATCAAATGGAAATTTGATCAGCTGCCTCAAAGGAAATGCTTGCAAATACTTCCTTGTGCTATTTTGCCATATACTGACAGATGAAAAGCTATAGAACTTTCAATAATCCTTCCTCTAAAAATGACAGTCCTAAAAATAGGGTTCCTTCAATGAAGGGACTTCACTGGAACCACTCTTGTACTTAAATTTTAGTCTATATGTATGCTTATTGCAGAACTCTGGCCCTAATCTGGACTCTTCAGAAAAAAGTATGCTTTATTTTGAATTGTTCTTGATGAAAAGTTGTCTTCATGAAACTACAGACTGTACATTCAACCTGTTATGTACTGTGATCCATTTTAGTCCATCCTTTACTAAGCTATCTGCATCTTGTATTACATAAAATAATAATTTAATAATCAAAGTCTGAACAGAGAAAAACCAGGATGAATGTTGCACGTTCTTCTTGTGACACATGCTCCATGTTCTGCAGAGAGTGTACCACACGGCCTCTTATCTGTGACAGGACCGTCAGGAATAAGTACAGCTAAGTTCATGCATTTGAATAAGGTAGTCTTGTTCTTACCATATTTTGATGCATCTTCTAAAAATCAGATTCTGTGCCTATGTCCACACATTTATAAACCAGGCTTCATAAAAGAAAGCCAGCATTGTCTAGGAAGATCTTACTTAATGCCGTTTTTCTTAACATTTCTTCCCCTCTCATTAACTGTCACAAACTGAGACATTGCATATAAGAATACAGTGACTACACCTGAAAAAGTGCTTTAATTTCTGCTTATGCTTGAATAACGTTTTCTCAATGCAGCTGGAAACTCTGGTGCAACAATGCCACCACTGGAGAAAAGCATTTTTTAAGCTGTGAATGAAAACCAAAATAAATAGAAAAAAGAAATACCAAAAAAGAGCAGTGTTTGAATCAGACTGAATCTATTGATTCAGCACTGATCTAAAAGTGATTAAACACTGATCTAAAAATCAGAGTACTGTTTTATCATTAAAAAAAACAAAACCAACTCTACAGGGGCACAGCATGAATACATGCTTACTGTGTGACACTACATCCTGACTGTAAGCAAGGAGCTCTATACCTACTATAAGTAACATGACATCTAAGAACTGAGATGGCCAGTCTCCTCCTCAAAACCCACCAACAATGAAGTCTGTATTTGGTCTTTTGTTACACCTTTGCAGATCTATTGATTTTAAAACCAAGGCATCAGTGACATTCAACGGTAACTGAAAGGACATTGATACACGTTAGTTGACAGTATACAAGGAACGGGATCTGCTTGTTTTCCCTTCTCATATTTTGGCGTCTGCAGCATTTTCAAGCAAATAAAGGTGTCAAAACAGTGCTGCTGAAATAGGTAAGGTATGTGAGGTTTTTTGCATTTTATTTATGTTAAAAACTAACTAGTCATATTTCAAAGTAGAGTAATACATTAACACACTAATGTTTAGAACATGATGAATTTAGGGATCTACTTTTATTACACAATATATTCACCCTGTTCTGTGGTAACTCTTTACCCTTTCAGCCAATATGAGAAACTTTCCTAATTTCACACAAATTGAAATGCTTTAAAGGTTATGCTGAAGGGCATAATACAGCTGGGGGTGTGTGGTGGGCAGAAGTAGCAGTCATCAGGTTCTTGGTTTAAGTACCTTTAATAAAGGATGTATTTTGTCCACAGGTAGCAGGAGAGGGTTTCTTCTTTTTCGTTTCTCTATAGCAGACTGCGCATCAGCAATCGCCCACTTGTCTATTGGATGAGGAAATGTCTTTTGAACGCGCTCCTGTCCAAACATAAAGAGTGCACTTAGATTAACCGCAGGAATCAAAGAGAAGTTTAAAAAAAAACAAAACAGCAAATTACTTCCCCTGTAGTATAGACAATTATCCTCCTCCTCAGTGTTTGCAACACATTTTCCTAACTGTTCTCTCCTTCTTACCCAACTCAGCTTCACTCTTTTCAATAATCCCAAACAACCTCCCTTCCCTAAGCATGAAGAACTCCTTCAAATCTCCTGAAACAACTCCTGCTTTATGATCTTTACATCACAAGAGCAGCAAGAAACCTTAGCTGAGACCAGGAGCCCAAAATATAAACAACATCAGGAAGCACTAAAAAGCTTACAGTATAAATGAAAAAAACCCACGTTGGTATTGTTCCTATTTCATAAAAGAGTGTAACTTGTCCTACATCAGATCAAGTTTATGGCAAATGAAAAACAAGTGCAGGATCTTCTAACTAGGAGGAAGACTGTGATTCATGAAAAAGGCTGGCTATAACACTTGGGACTCCTCAAGCCCACACAGGAGCATCTTCCCCACTGCAGAACCACTCACAGTGTCTGCAGTTTACAGCCCTCACTACCATGGTAAGCTGTATGCAATTTCAGGTTACTTTTATACAGATTCACATTGCAACAGCTGCTATAGAAACAGGCGAGATGACCCCCACAACAGAACAAACTGCTTTGGGCAGCAGTCCCCAGCTAAACACGTGCAAGACCCCAATCCTGCTTTCCATGAAGTTTTCCGGGCTTCCTACGAAGTTCTGCGGGCTTCCCACTGCAGCCCCTGTGAGCTGAGGAATTAAATGCTGAAAGAACGAGTCTAAACTGAACTCTGATGACTGCTTAAGTGACTTTGGAAAAACAAGTTTTTTTAAGTTAGCTCAGGGAGGAGTACCAATCACCTCCTGCTGCACAGCCGACTACGTGGCCCTTACTCCACCTGGCATTGCCAAGCAGGTGCTGTGCCGTACCCCCCTCTGTTTTGGAACCGTAACGTGGGCCACGCGGAGGCCTGCATGGGTGGTAACTCTTACAGGAGAGATTTTGTAGATGAGCTGAAGAACGAGCCGAGAAAAGTGGTGAAAACTGTGTGTGTCTCTTATGAAAAGATTTTTGCACACATTCTGAAATTTAACAGGAGGCCTGAGGTTTTCTTTTAAATATTTGCACGTGGCCGTTTAACGCTCAACTTTCTGCGTCAGCTGTCTGTGCCAGGTAAACACACGGTGACCTTTTCTCTTGGACAGCAGCCGAAAGCTCTGGGCTGGTTCACCGAAATTAATTTTCCTTGAGATTCTACCAGAAGATCGCCTGCAAAATGGACGTAACGTGGCATTCAGCTGTCCTTCAACTTAACAGCGCACTTCACGAGTAACACACGCCTTTTGTGGTTGGACTTTACTGATTACCAGTGTTTTCTTGGGAACAATTTGAAGGGCTTTTTCTATTTATAAAACCTTTATAATTTGAGATTTTAGACCTTGATCTGCAAATACTTAAGTATAATATTATGCACAAATAGCTCCATTAACTCCAGGCTGTTATGTAAATATCTGCATGATAAACCTTAGAGATCACAGCTCTCATGTTTTCTCTTAACAGCTAAAACCAGCTGAGGAACAGAGCCAAAAGCCTTCATTTGTGGATCTCGGATGCCTGCTGGCAGCACAATCTCACCCACAACCCGTAACACAAAACTGAATTCTACTTTCCCTGCTCTGCAAGAGCCTGAATGTATTAACCTACAGAACAATAATGTTTTGGGGAACCTGTTACCACTATTTAGACCTGGCTCTGCATTTTTTAATTAAATAACTGTTGTATTGTCAAGTGCAACAATGTTTTATCACTTACAGCTTTAAAATGCCAGGTATATTTAAAATACAATACACAGGATTTAGTGTTTGCTGTGATACTCATAACCACAGTACAGAGAGTTGTCAGTTATCTCAGAAGGGTGCCTGTATTATGTGCAATTTTGCACACAGTAATTTGTGGAGCATACACATACCCAAGGAAAACTATTAATTCGTAAGTACACAGGGTAATTTTATGAACTTATGACTCAGAAGCAGAAAGCTATGGAGTTGGTGTGTAGAACAATCAGTGCTATCTCAAACTGTCCTGTGTGTTGAAGGGTTTGATCAGCTGGGAACTGGAGAAAGAACGTGGAATTTCTCAGCTCCACATCTAAAGTTCAAATCCAGACTCAAGGGAGTAACAATCCTGAGACCTATTAAGGGACTATCAAGTTTTTTGCTTTTATTTAGTCATACTATAATCTTTATGCATCAGTATTACAAAATACATTAATCATAAACCAAAATTAATAATTAATGAATTAACTCAACGTTGAATAAAGGGCAATTGCTGCATCTAATAAGAATCTAAAACCCCTCAGGCAATTATTTTCTAAAAATATGGGGTTTTTTTTTATTATTTCCATGACACACATATGGAATATTAGATGAGAACTTCATTCTGGTTTAGGCTGAAAATCCTAGACATATAGATTGATATAAAATTAATACTCTACAAAGCTATAATGGGTCACAGCTACATGAAAGCACTTTCTCCCTCTAGACTGTATACTGAAGCGCACTCCATTAAAGCCCTCATTTTGAAACCGATGACACAAAAGCAGACAGCTGCAATAATACAAGAGCCTCAGTGAGTTCAATAAAGTTCCAGGAACATACAACTCTATTCCCTCAGCTGCGCAATCCAGGCCTAACAACAGTAATCTTTCACTCCACCATTTACTTTTTTTTCCTGTATATTTATGTCAATGAGCAAGAAAACTTGCAACGCCCTTACATTCTTAAGTCCAAGGTGTATTTGAGCAGCAAAAATCCTTCAAAGTATCCTGCATTTATAAAAATAATGCTGAAAGAAAAAATTCCCACCATTTCTATTCTGAAGCCCTGTATAGGAAAATGAGTTTCCAATTAAGCTTGCTCTGTGAAATCTGAATACTGTATAATCTTTTAGCATTAATAGGCTCTGCTCTTCAGATTCACCTTGCTTTAACTTCAGCCAACACTGCTCAAAATATAGTAGCTCATCTTAGCGATTCTGCAAGCAAGCACTTGGTTTTCCAGTATCTAGTCTTACCTCTACATCTTGGACAGTCCGTGGCTGAGCAATGCATAGTTTGTTTAGCAGCTGAAGTATCAACTCTTCAATGTAATAGAGGGAATCTTCTTTTGCTGAAAGGTTTGGGTGAACCTGTTGCTGAACCTGTCCAAAAGAATTAGAAGAATTAGGGGTTTTTGCCATTTAAAGCTGTACAGAAGGAAGAATTGGAAAAAAGAGTACTTCTATACTGTAGTGCTGCAAATTTGCACACTTCCAGTAATTTCCTGCAAGTTTTCCTATGTAGTTAAGATGGCAATTCCTATTCCTGCGAAGTTGGCATCTCTATTCAATTAAAAACTAAGTGTTTAGCCTTTACGGTGGGCAAGAAATTTCAAGCCAAGGCAGATTTCTGCCAATGATGCAGTGAAAACAATCACTTTTGGTAATTCTGCAGTTATTCATCCACAGAATGAGTAACACACAGTTATGTTACTAACCCCGCTAATGAGCACTGGGTGACTGTGAACAGAGAAGCAGCATGGACCCACCAGAGGAAAAGACTTAACAAGCAAGGACACCAGGATAAGGGAACTAACCAGTCTGGCAGGGAGCTGAATTAATGCGCTGTCAAAACCTGTGGCAATAAAAAACCCATGGCCATGACACGGGAGAAGGGCAGGAACAACTCTTTGAGATGCCTCAGAGCCAGAAAACTAACTAGAACATAAAACACTGTCTGAGGCATAGGAAGAGACATGTGAAATACCTGCAACAGAGTGGGAGAACCTAAGGAAAAGCATGAGTCAAAATTCAGGAGTGTCAAGACTAGGAGACGTGCTGTGAGAAAGGCTGACTTCCACCTCCCTTTAACGCAAGGCAGGATAATGCGTTTTATCTCACTTTACGCAGATTAATCACAGCTCTTGTTTCCAAGGCTAAGCTAGACCAGGCAACCTGAAACTGGCAACCTCAGCATGTGCCCACACAAGCTGAAGGGCCACAACTAACTCACCCAACGTGGCTGTTTTCCTACTCAAAATCCCCCAAACCCACCACACCCCCCCCCCTAAAAAAAAAAAAAAAAAAAAAAAAAAAGCACTCAAGAGTGAGTATATGTACTCAGTTTTCCCTGGCAGCCTCTCAATCAGGAAAGCACTAACTAGATCTTAAACTATAGCCAAAAGATTCGTAAGTAATACAATCCAGGGAAATTCCCTACTCTCCCCAAACAAATTATATGTTAATCACCTCAAAAAAGTAATCTTGCATACTCACACTGGCATTCTGTACGTGGTTTCAAACACAAGACAAACAGATCAGTAGTTTCTCAGAGGAAGACGGTAACATCTTTGGGTCAATTCTGATCCTCTGAAATACATGCACTCCTCCCTCCAAAGACAACAGGTGAGTCCACAAACACTGGGGGGCTCTGAGGGCCTCCTCCAAATTAAGTAACTAATAATTTCATAGCAATACCTTGGGGGCACTCAATGTGCAGCCCTGCAGGCTTTTGTAAATCGTGCAAAAACAAGACCAAGAAGGAAGTAAGGTGTCTGGCCGGCTTCCTTCCCTGCTGGCCACAGAGGGAGGTGGGCAGAGCTGCCCGGGAGCCGGAGCCACCACAACGAACCACTTGCTGCTCCATCTCCTGCCGTGCCACGGCCCGAAAGAATTGGGGGAACAGGACTGCGCTTTGCCCCCACACCACCACAGAGGAGAGAGGAAGAGCCAGGATGACCAACACGTATGGAGAAAAAGTGAAGATCCACGGAGCGCACCTCTAGAAGGGGCTGGTGCTATGTCTTCAACATCGGAGAAGCAGAGATGATGACTTGGATGGAGAAGTCTACCAACACACTGCTCAAAGACAAGGGAGCGCAGACAGGGACCCACGATAGGAATCCAAATGTCTCAGGGGAGAGGGAAGAGGGACACACACTGAAAATGTGAAAACATACACTGGTGCTGATTGTACTGGAGCTGATAATTAAGGGATTGCACAGTGGTGGTGAAGACAGACTGCCAATAATGGGGGCTCCTATGCGATACCCAGGGAGAGACGCCCGCCCAGGCAACAACACACATTTCTAGTGCTTAATTCTGCACTGGCATCCTTCCTTGAAAAGCGCAAGCGAAGAAACACATTAATAAAGCTGTTGTACACTGAGATGGGAATACACATTCAGCTTCTAATCCAGCTGTCCAATTTTGTTATAGAGTTTCTGTATAGCCCTGTAAGTATCATGTAGTTTCCTGCACCTCTCTGCTTCATATACCTGTTGCACAGCTGACATGTATACAAGATCGAGTACTACTAAAAGAAACAAACGAAAAAAAAAACCCTCAAGAAAACCAAAACCACTCCTTGAAAACACTTACTTAAGACTGCAGGTTTTCAACAATAGTCAGTGCATTTCGTGTTCTTCCTGAACAGGAGAGTTTAATTCACAAAACAATGGAAAACCAGGAAGTGTCAAGTTAAGGTCCCGCCACGTATCTCTTATACGAGCACTACTACAGCAAAAGTGTTAGCTAGCTAACTAGGAAATAAGATGAAATTGTATTTCGCCCCCCAATGAACCCTTAATGATGCTCCACAGAAATGACAAGAACAGGAGCTGTAAGAAGATGAGCAAGGGAAGCTGTGCTCCCCTTAAGAGAAGATGGGGAAATCCCATTTACTGGATCAGATCGCAGCCATTCTCCTCTCACGAGGGTCGCTCATTTTAAAAACAGACATCTCTGCTGCAAAGAAAATGCCTTCGCTTGTAACTAACTTCAGTTCACAGGTCTAAACAGTTCATGCCAGACTTTCCTCAGCCTTCTCAAGAGCATGTGGACATCTAACAAGGCTGAGGACAAGTAGAGGAGCGTGCAGCCCTCTTCAAACCCTGGCAGAGAATCTCAGCTTCATACAATGAACACAAACATAAGTACTGGAGTCAGTTTTGCTTCGAAAGGAGCAAAACTGACAACAAAGCCCAACATTTCTTGGTTGAGACGACTCTTCCCAGAGGATTTAGAAATCAGCTTCCATTTGAAAGGATACCGCCTGCAGCATCGCAGAAAGGTCCCAGAGGTACTCATGCACTCCCTGGCTTTAAGAGAAGTTATTTTGACATAAATGCCGTTATTGAGAAAAAACAATTTCATAGAAAGACACTGTTTTTCATAGCAAAACAAAAAGACAGTTATAAAAGCTGTCCACCAGCTGATCAAATCAGATGCCACTATATCAAGCAGAGAACACTTACGTCTTCACAGTATTCACCTAAACCCTGACTGAAAGGGCTGGAAAAGCAAGGAGAGACTGATAAAACACTGAATGTACAGAAAGAAGTAGGAGGAATTCCTGAGGACATGTTTCTTACAGAAGGTACATTCACTGACTTCAGGTTCAGACTGAAACATCTGAGCACAATTTTACTAGCTGGCATGGAATAATACACCATAGCTAACACAGGGCTAAATTTTGATCTGGCTTGTAACTGCTTCTTTTAAGGGTCAAAATACCTAAACCCACAACATGTTGCATTAACCAGCAAGAGCTCTGCTGCAAGAACTCTGAGCAGAAGGTATCAGAGAAATCAGATTTTTTTAACCTATTTTATCTCCAAAACAACCCAAGTGAAGTGCTTGAAGTCATTAAAGAGGGAGATTAAGATTACCAGGACTATTTTTTACTGTCATTCATACAGGATTATTCCTTCACGAGCTGTTCCAAGGAATAGAAATAACAGATATGAGTCCCATAAGCGTGGCATTTAAACATGGCCTTAAGGCCTGTCTGGGGGACGTGCTTTTATTTTAGATGGGAGTTCCTAAACTGCTCTCTCCCTTGCTCTTCTTTACATCTCCCTACTCTTCCACCCCTCCAACACGTGCATATTTGATGAAAATCCAGCAGCGTCTTCACAGGGGCCTCTCCTTCCCAGGGCTGTAGCCTTCAGCAGGGCTTGCTGAGAGCTCGACTGTATCTGTACAAGCAGCGGCTCAAGAGGTGACCGAAAAACCCCTTAAAGGTAAACTGAGATCTTCCCCTTGGTTCCTCCCGCGAGGCAGGTCCTGCACCATGCCACAAAAGCTTTGAGAAAACAGGCAGCTGCAGAGATGAAGTCAAGCTCAAAATTCCTTCTCAGTGAGATGTTAATAGTCCTTACAGGCCCCTGGGAAGAAGTCTGTTAAGAAAAAATGGGGAGGAAATCTTTTCAAGAAGATAAACAGTATTAGGACTAGAAACAAACTGATCTTATTTTTCAGAGCTAATGTAGTGGCAGGCTTAATTTTGAACTGCAGGAGACCTGGCATGAAGTCTGAATATCAATAATATCTGGACTTGGGGAAATTTAGAAGTCCTGAGCATAAAAGCAATGGTCAAAGGGTTGTACCTGAAACAAAAAAAAGCTGAGGAAAATATTAAGAGTCAAAACTGCAAGTCACTTCTTCTTAGCCTGTACTAATGAGAAAAACCAGCAGTTTGGTTATACTGCCTAAGTATATTTTTACATAATACATATATTTTGGTAATAAAAACACATTCAGAAAGCTCCAGTTGTTCCACAGTAAGCCCATGAGCAAAACAAGAGATTGTTCATTAAAAAAAAAAAACGAACAAAAAACACAACAGAAAAACCCCAAACCCATGACACACACATTGAGTCTTCAGACAGTGTATACCATCACAAACATATCGATTCATATTCCTGAAAGACTAGACATAGTTACATGGCACTTCTCTACTTATATTCAAAACAACTACATTTTCAGAAAACAGAATTCCAGTACTACCTGTGATTTCAGAACAAGAAGTTTCTCATTTAAAAAATGCCACCACAAAATCTGTTCGCATGATAGTGTAACATTTTTAAGCTTACTATGCTAACAGGATAGCTTAATAAATTGCACATTAAGTTTGTAAACTCTTTGCAACAGAAACTACTCATTCCCATTTTCCCACAGAGACTGATTTCAACTTCGAAATTATTTATATTTTACATGCCTCGTAAAAACACAGTTATACTAGATCAGTGGACAAGTAAAATTTTGCAAGGCTGTTTGTTTACTTGAGGAATAAAGCATATAAATGTGGGAGCAATAAAAATAACTAGAACATAAAAGTTAAATATTTACTATCACAGGCTGGTTACAGTCTTGCCAACACT